CAACCTGGAAGTGATAGAATGGTTGAAAACAACTTAAAACCAAATATGGAAATTTGCATTTTCTGGAAATTTGCAGTCCGCAAGCCTCAATTTGGCTCTCTTTTTCTCCCAATCCTTTGAGTGTTTGAGGAATCCATTTGTTGGGTTTTAGACCTAGACTAGGCCAAAAAAAAAAAAAAAAAAAAAAAAAATAAAAATTTTCTTCGAATTTGGTTGAGTTTTGATACATCAAATACATGTGCAAAGTTTGGAAAAAAAATATGTTTTCTGCAGAAAACTAGCCACGAGTCCAACTTTGGAGCCAGTTTTCTCCTTCGTTTTGAGTGTGGTTTGTTGGGTTAGAAACTAGAGGAAATAAGCTTCAAACCCACTGTAAGTTTTCCCAATTTTGTTAACTATATAATATTCAAAGCCCAAATCGTTTTTGAAGCCCAATTGGCTTCCACTTGGCCCACTTCCATTTACTAAGTGTGAGACTTCCATATTTATAAAGACCTCACTCTTTCTACTTTCTATCACTGTGAGACAAATGTTCTTGAATTTCATTCAAACTTTCAACAATCTTTCATTCAAACTTCCAACAATCTCTAATGAAGTTGATAAATACTTTGCCGATCCATTTGAAAACCCAAGGAACAAAAACTTCAACCTTTTGGATTGGTGGAAAGGGAATCAATCAAGATATCCACTCCTTTCTAAGGTTGCCAAGGACATATTTGCAATCTCTTCCTCTACGGTTGCTAGTGAGAATGCCTTTAGCCTAGACTAAAGGATTGTGGATCCTTTTAGAAGCTAATTTACTTCAAAAATGGTAGAGACATTAGTGTGTACTCATGATTGGCTTAGGGATGACGAATTTAACTTAAACAAGGAACCAATGGATGAGGAAATTGCTTTTATAAGGAACTTGAATAAATTCAAGCAAGTAAGTATTTCAATTATTTATCTTTAGATTTTATTGATGCTTTGATAGTTTAATGCTTATACTAATATGTACATATTCTTATTTATTTTTTCATGTACTGGCCACTAAGGCTCAAGGTGGTAATGCTCAAGTTTCTACTTCAACAAGCATTTTGCCTCCTTCAACTCCATTACATTTGTAATGCTCAAGCCAAGTGCCTACTTTTGTTTGGGTTGTAAACTAATTAAAACTTCTACTTTATTTTGGATTGTAAACTAATTCAAACTTCTTCTTTTGTTGGGTTGTAACTTAAGTTAACTATGTTGTACTTTGGATTTGGATGTTTAGTTTTAGGCTTCAATTTATGTTTTGAGCATGTTTAATTGTAGTTTTAGCTTTTAGGCTTCAATTTCTCATTTTATCATGTTTGCCCAACTACAACTATCCAAAAACAATCCTTAAAACATTGCCCAACAAAATTGGACTTAAAAACTGCATTCAAATCCCAAATTGCAACCCAGAAAATGTGAAGTGGGCTAAAAAAAATTGGTCAAAAAATCCCAATCTATTTGTTTTCGGTAGGCCAACCATCGAGTCGGCCCAACCGCTACTTGCAGTATTACCGATAGTAAGAGAATCGATTGCAAATCGATTGGCGGCAATTTCAATTTTCGTTAAACTGCCTACTCTCGATCGGTCATCAGTACTGGCCTACCTATTCGATTACCAAACCGATTCCACCCCTAGGTAAAAACCTCCAATTTGGACACAAACATCTTCTAAAACGGCTTACCTAGCTCTCTACTACCCATTTCCCAAAATTTGAAACCTAATTAACCTAGTTGTCCCATTTCCTTCAAATTGAAAGCATAATTCACTAAAATTCTCAAAATCCCTAAAACCTCCAAGAAAGTACGTCATATAGGTCACATGTCATTCACGTGATTAAAATATGCATAAAATGTGACTTAGAAACTGAATTGACAAGCAACGGCAGGCCTAGAAATTTTTCAAAAAAGGGGCAATATTTCAAAGGCTAAGAGCTTAACTAAACAAAAACAACCAAATAACTTGATAATTTAAACGATATTTAAAAGGCTAAAAACACTATATTAATCATATTAACCAATTCACCATATTAATCATTTAATCAAACCACAACAATATTTATTAATTAATTAAAAACTAAAAAATATACAAATAAATAAATTCAAAAAAATCTATATAAAAACAAAAACAAAAACAAAAACTCAATCAATTAACCAAAACCTAACAATCCATCTTAATTAATTAAAGCATAAAGAGAAATTACTTTGAAATTTGAGAGAGAAATTAATTTTCCAAACAATTGTGGAGGGTTGGTCCATTGGTGGATGGCTTATCTGTTATGGCTTATGCCCACTTCACAACCCTTCTTTTGCCTCTAAAAACAAATGGGTTTCTACCAAATGAATCAAAGAATACAAAGAGGGAGAGAGATCCTTTCATGGTTTCGTTGCTGAATGAATGTAATGGAATTTACTTGTACCAATTTGAGAGAGTGAGAGATAGTCAATGATAATGAAAAAAGCACAAAGAGAAAAGCTAATGGGTGATGGAGGCAAAGGAGGATTGAGAAAAAAGGAATGTGGTTGGGGAGTTGGGCGGTGTGGGTAATGGTGGTTCAGGTGTGGAGGGGTAAGGTTAAGAGTTGGGGATGATAGGGTTTATTTGGGATATCCAATTTCGATTGAAACTTATCTGAGGTTGGCCCTTTCTTTTTATTTTATTATTATTATTTGTTTTTTGTTTTCACTTGGACCAAAACTATGCGTTTTGGACATATCACTTTTTTTTAAAAAAAGAAGCCAATGCGCGCTGCAGCCTGCACAAAGGAGCTGCTGCCTGGAGCTTCTTTGGAGCAAATAATCGAACAGCTGGTGGGCAGTAGCAGAGGGGCATTTCCAGCTTCTCCAATTGATTTTCCGGCGAGGGGAGGTGCAGCTGCATGTTGGTAATTTTTAACAACAATATTTAAACCTTGCAAGTGCACAAATCAAATGATAGTATAGTAAGCAAGCAAGGGTCATTCCCACAGAGATTGTAATCTAGAGAGATGTTTATCAATGTCTCGCAACGAAAACACAAGGACTTCCACACACACGCCAACACCAAGGGGGGTTTTGATTTGATTTTGTGAATAAAACAAAATAAGGAAAACAAAACAAAACAAAATTTAAATTAGAGTTTAAGAGAAATTGGTTTATAATCAATCAAGAACAATAGCTAGGACTCAATATCCACCTCTAACCAATCAATCAATCCATAAACAACAATAGATAATCAATTTCTAGCAAGCATATGATGACGACACTCACAACAAGATCATGGCATTTGACTCGAGTTGTATGATTCTCTCTTAAGTGCATGTAAAGTGTATGGCATTTACATCAATACGTGTATTCTTAATTGAAATCTAGTATGGCATTTACTCAAATTAACAATCAAGAATCCATTAAGATCAAAGAGAATATGAGTGTCACAAAAACCCTAAAACATGGCATTTGTTATTAGGAATTCAAGAATCGATTTCTCATAACTAGTTCTTAACCCCATTATTCGTTGCAAACAAGAACACATTCAATATGGCAATTGACCTATGTTCTACAACAATTTAATTCCAATACATGCTTCAAAGTTAGCTACTCAAAGAAACAAAATATCAGAATTCACATAACATAGAGAAACCGAAATCATCACGCTTGTAGAAACTGAAAATCCATTCAAACTTGTTTATAGAATTGAAATCATGTTTAGGGCTTCAAGATTAAGCCCTAACTAACAAGAAATTAGTTACTCATGCTCTTGGATGAACTCAAAAATAAATACATAAGAACTGAAACTTAAAAGAAGAAAGGAAAAGAAAGAACTCGTTGGCAACTTTCTCCTCTTACGCGGTTGATCCCTTTTGGACGTGAATCCCCTGTATCGGGGCCTTGGTTGGCCTTTTATATCACTTATATCAAAGTTATAAACCCTAAAATTGACTGAGAGTCGTCCAAGAAGTCCTGGTAAACAAGGAATCCAAATAGGAAAGTAAAAATCACAATTCCTAACTCCACAGGGAAATACAGCTCAGCCCAATTGTCACACAATTTGGGGATCTTCGGCCTTGTAGAAAAATCATTAAAAATATATTTTAGAAAGATAAATGTCTTATCTTTCCAACCATATATAGCACGTAACTTGGAAAATTCGGGAAGGCTTCCGTTCTTCACATTCACGTAACATGTACGAAACTGTCTTGTCTGCACGTGGGCTAACTTTACTTGTAATACTGTACCAATTGGCTTGGTAGAAAATTCTAGAAAAATCACAGATTGAACTTCAAGATGTTAGCTTTCATCTCCAATTGGCCTTGCGCTAAAATTCCTCCAAAAAGTTGATTTTTCCTTAAAAACCTTCTAAGAGCTCAGAAAAGCTGAAAATCAGAAAAGTAAAGTAATAAGCCTTTTTTAAATTTAATTCTCATACAAAACCTAAGTAAAAAGAGTACATAAATGAGTATATTTATGGACTTATCACTGCATCTCCTTGCGCCTTTGTACATCCGTCAGTGTTGACAAGAATGAAAAAGTTGGAGGACCAAAACCATACGAAAATTAGTTAGATGACAAAAGAAAACTCGGATATAAGTTCACTGAGCATTGCGATTAAAAGCCCTTCTAATGAATATTTGTAATTGATTCTTGCATTTATTAAGCATTTGCGATGAGTCTATTTTCGTATATTTCCCTCTCTTTTTTTAACAAAATAATTTTTCCTCCTATTCCTTGTCATACAGTGGATAATTTTACCCAAAGCAAATAGAATAGGGAGAAGTGTTGACCAAAAACAAAAAATAGAATAGGGAAAAGGGCCGGGCCGGGTCGCTGGGCAGGAGATATGAAGAGAAAAACGAATATTATCCTCCCAATATGCCGTTCATACCCATCTAGGGTTTGTCCAATGATATAATAATATAAATAGGAGACGATGACGATTCAGATCGCCCTCTTCGCATATTATCTCTCACTACTTTAAGCCTTTGGCCGCCTCACTACAACCCTCTTTCGCAATGGCCATTACATTCTCAGATCTCTACACCGAAGCCGGCCTCAAGTCCCTCGATGACTTCCTTGCCGGAAAATCTTACATCTCCGGGTAATTTCTTCTTCTTTTACTTGGTTTTGTTCTTGTTTTTGGTATAAATACTAAAATTGATGAATAATTCAAAACCCTACCAGAGACCGGCTTACTCTGGATGACATAAAGGTGTACGCAGCGGTGTTGGGGAAGCCCGATTCCTTTGCGAATGTGAGCAAGTGGTACGACTGCGTTTCATCCCAACTCGCCGCAAACTTCCCCGGCAAGGCAGTCGGAGTCAGAATCGGAAGCGGCAAGGCTCCTGCTGCTCCTGCTGCTCCTGCTGCAGCCGGAGGAGATGACGACGACGACTTGGATCTCTTTGGTGATGAAACCGAGGAGGACAAGAAGGCAGAAGCAGAGAGGGAGGCAGCCAAAAAGGCATCTACCAAGAAGAAGGAGAGCGGCAAATCCTCTGTTCTTCTGGATGTCAAGCCTTGGGACGATGAGACTGACATGAAGAAGCTCGAAGAGGCTGTTCGCAGTGTGGAGATGGAGGGTCTCTTCTGGGGAGCATCAAAATTGGTTGCAGTTGGTTATGGGATCAAGAAGTTGCAGATCATGCTCACCATTGTCGATGACCTCGTCTCTGTCGATGACCTCATTGAGGAGCAGCTTACCGCCGAGCCGCGCAACGAGTATATCCAGAGCTGTGACATTGTTGCCTTCAACAAAATTTAAATCTACTGCAGTGCTCGTTGTTGATTTCATAATTGTTGATTCGACTTGGACTTGGACTTGTGGTAGGAAGGAATGAATTTTCGTGAGGAAATTTACTTTTGATCTTTATATGGTGATATATGCTTTTAATTAGTGTTTTCAGTCCTCTGCTATTTTGACTTGTGTATGTTTTTTTTCCAATTTCCAGTTAGTGTGTTGACTAAAATATGAGTGCTTCTGTCAAAAAATAATTTCAATCTCTTTGTGGTTACTGCCATGGGGGGGGCAAGCGGGAAGCCACCACCACTCTTTGTTTACACTTTACAAGTGTTTATTTGGTTGATGATTGTCAAATTTTGAGAAAGTGGTTCTGTGTTAGGTTGCCGCATCATTCATTCTTATGGACAATATATGAGAAGATGCGTAAAAGTTATACAATATATATTATGCATAAGAGGCTAGATATATAATTGCACCAGCCCTTGCATCCTCATTACCTTCCCCTCCTCCTCCATTAATGTTGGTGCTTTTGCACAGCTGGTTTGGATCTCCTCCATAACCAAACACACGAGTCTCTGTTTTTTTGGGTCGAACACACGAGTCTCTCGATAGAAAACCCAGTACATGGCACTGGATAATTAATCTTTTTTAAAGAAACCCTAACCTTAGTAGCCCGTGAGAGAGAACTTGTTATGGAGTTTTGTTTTTAACCGATTGTTCTTATGGTGCAGATTTAAAACAACATTTAATTACCCGTCTCGCACACGGCGTCTCCTTCCTCCTCCTCTTCCTCCATCTGTGTTGCTGAAATTTTCCTTTCTTTTTTTTTCCTTCCATCTCCCTCCCTTCTCCCGCACTTCTCCATCTCCAGTCCACTACCCATGCTTCTCCCTCCACAACACTCTTCCCCGTTGCTTTCATCCGTGGCAATTGCATAACTTTTCATTCTGCTATTTTGTTTATAATGGTTTTGGCTGAGTTCTTCTGCATTGATGTATGACTAATTTATGGTTTTGAGTAAGGAATTGGTCCTTTTTTGTTTCGTGGAAAGCGGAAACAAGTTAGGAAAAAAAATAGAACAGAAAAAAAAGGGTGGTAAAACGGCAAAACAAAAGAACCAGAGCAACAACCCAAAATGGTGGAAGAGGAAGGAATAATAAGGAAAACACAGCAACCCAAATGCTCCCCACCAGAAACACCCAAAGCCCCACAGTCAAAATCCAAACCCCCAACAAACTCTCCAATCCCAGAAGAAAGCAAACAACTGTGGAGAGGAGAGAAGAATGGGGAAGGACAAAGAGGAGGGAAATCAAAGGGAGAGACAGAGGAGCTACCGAAAGGAGAATGGGAGAGAGAAGAGGAGAAAAAAAAAAAAAAAAAAAAAAAAAAAAAAAAAAAAAAAAAAAACAAACACACACACAAATGGGGGAAGAAAGAAGAAAGAAGGAGACGGAAAGTGTGAGAGAAGGGAGGGAGATGGAAGGAAAATTTCATCAACACAGATGGGGAAGAAATGAGAATGGAGGAAGAGAGGAAGGAGACGGAGAGCGTGAGACGGGTTATTACATGTTGTTTTAAATCTGCACCATAGAAATAATCAAACGGTTAAAAACGAAACTCCGCAACAAGTTCGCATTATGATACTCCGTAATGAAGAACCTCCAGCCTTTACATAGATGTGGAAGTAAGTGTTCCTATTGTGTTTATTATTATTTTTTTTGGAAAGAAAGGTGATATGTTGCATTTATAATTCAGACCTCACAAAGGTCAATACAAGTACAACTAATCATATAAAGTTAATACATATATAGAACCACATTAATCATGAAAATGATTAATTCAAATACGGAATAGTCTACCAACAACAAGAAGCACAAAAGGTTTAAAAAAGAAAGATTGTACCATTTCACTTTAAATTGAACATTCATCACTTTTTAGTCATAGAAAGTCACAACTAGGGTTGTGCAATTGAATCGAAAAATTGACCAAACCAAATCGATCAGTTTGATTTAAAAAAAAAAAAAAAAAAAAAAAAAAAAAAAAATTAGTGGAAACTAAACCGAATTGGCTCCTGATTTGTTGATCGCAAATATCCAAACCACCAATTCATCTTAATCAAACTAATGCTTTTAAAATGCTAAATAAATATTAGCATGCCAACCAAAATCGGTCATCCTGATTTGATTAGATTTTTATAAAATAAATTTGTAACCGAATTGGCCTCGAGTTCGTAATTCATAAATATCTGACCACCAATTCACCAGAACCAAATTGATGCTTTTAAAATGCTAAATATTAGTAGAAGTTAGAGGCATGAGGACTCAAGCCCCTCACCTCTAGCTTATAATGCCAACGCCATAACACTTTATTAAGAAGCCTAATTGTGTTATTATTGTATAAAAAATATATTTAAGAGCTCACATCTTCTCTCTCCTCCATCTTCTTCTCATGTTTACTCTCTTTGTTCCTTGTTCTTTGTCTTTGGTTTATTGGTGAAATCAACAGAATTGAGCTGATTTCTCAATAAACAGACTCTTTCGATTGAAGTGATCATTGGCTTGGTGTTGATTCTCGAAAAAGGCAAATTCATGCAGTTTTTGACATCTAAGTGTAATTCGATTCGGTTACCCAACCCTAGCCGCATATACATGAGAAGCCGCATATGTAGTGAAACAATAATAATATATGTAGGTAATTTTCATTACATTAAAATTGATAAAAGTGACAACAGAAAATTGAACTAAGTTATGAATTTTTGTTTTCTTTTTTTGAGAAAGTGACGAGAACATTCGAGACTCAAAATTCGTGACAAAAGAAGAATCCGAGTCTCCAAACTACGAAGGAAAGGCCTCGTGTTCCCGTGTTGGTTCCGCGTTGGCGTCATACCGTAGTATAATGTGCCGGAATTACTTGTCCGTGTAAGCCAACAAACTCAACTCAACTAGGTTCTAGAGGGGGGGTGAAGGTGGGCCCCAAAGCCGCACACTGCCTAGTTGTCATCTTTGTTTGAGAACTCTCCAACCCAACGATGGCAAAGTCTCATACTTTTTTTTTCTTTTCTTCTTCTTATTAAATTTTCAACAAATAAAAAGACAAAAACTCGGTTATTGTTGTTTGTTTTGTTTCTGTTTGAGTGGAAATGATGACGCTTTCCGTTGAGTGAGTCCTTTGTGAATTATGGTAGTTTGTCCTTCCTCTTCAATTTCTCTTCATTTTCCTTTCCATCGTCAACAAGGTCACAACAACAAATAGAAACTGCGATGAGGAAAGAGAAAAGGAAACCACTTCTACTTCACCTCCGCTACTCCTAGCAAGTTTTCACCATCACCAACCTCCCCCCAATCCAAACATTTCTCTCTCTCTCTCTCATCTGATATCGCTTTTCCTTTTATTCCGTATAGAGAGCCAGCCAGTCCATGCTCTATATGTTCCATCCAATCCCACCACTAGCACCGACCTAGCCCCTCCTCATGGCCCATCTGGAGCTTTTCTTCTCTTTTTAAACCAACTTTCTTTTTCTTCATAATTTTCTTCCCTTTTATTACGTTTCTTATTAGGTTTATTGGGGGTTTAATTTAATCAAATCACTGTGTGCCTCCTTATTTATTTCCTGCCAAAATTGACCATCCCCTGTTCCCTCGAATCTCCTACAAACATTCAATGGATCCCCAGTATATCTCCCACCAAATCTAGGGTTTTTGCTTGGGTTTATCTTTTAACTATTGCCTTCCTCTCTCTATTGGGTCGGCTTTACCATCTCCTACTACTATCAACTCTACTAGCCTCTCTATTTCCGTCTTCTTTTCTCCTCTTTCTTTCCTTTCCGAGTCTTCCTCTGCCGCTATCTGGCTATCTGGGTTCTACTCTCTTTGGCTAAAAACAACTGTCATTCATGGCGTATCAGAGTTCTGGGTCGAGTTCCAGTTCCGGCCCATCTGGGTTCCAGTTCCTGAATTCCCCTTTTGGTGACACTACCTACACCAAGGTCTTTGTTGGGGGGCTCGCCTGGGAGACTCACAGCGACACCATGCGCCGCTATTTCGAGCAGTTCGGAGAGATTCTCGAGGCCGTTGTTATTTCCGATAAGAACACAGGCCGATCCAAAGGCTATGGCTTTGTGAGTATTTATTATTGTTTTCAGTTTTTGGGTTTGTATGATTCTTCATTTTCATTCATATTTTCTAAATGGATATGAGTTTGAGTTAGCTGCGAAGCACATGCAATCTAATCACCTTTTGTATGAAGAATCAAGGATGTGTTCTGTCTGACTTTAGAAATGACTTGGTTTCTGTTTGTATTTACATGGAGGGTTTAGGTGACTTTCCGAGAACCGGAGGCTGCTGCACGAGCCTGCGCCGATCCAACTCCAGTTATCGATGGCAGGCGGGCAAATTGTAATCTGGCTTCACTCAGGCGGCCGAGGCCACCTATGCATTATGGTATGGTTTCCCAGTCTGTTGGATGGATAACTATCCAAAAGTTCCCGCTTTGTAGTTTCCCATTTCTTGCTCAGTTGAAACTTCATTGTGTTGGGTGATGATTGTATTTGCGCTATTTGTTTTAAGCAGAAAAATCCTCCACGGATTTGAAGAAAATAGAACTATGCTCATGAGTGATTCCATCATTTCACTTCTAACTGTTATTTTTGTACATAATAGCCTAGCCTTTCTCCAAGTACTGAAATTTGCTTATTGTACTTTGCATTTTTTACTTGCAGGGCGCCCAAGACCAGCTGCTCCATACATTGGAAGCATGCAAGCTACCCGAGGGGCTTACATTGGAGGATATGGCTACCAGCAACCTGTTCCTTACAACTATCAACAAGGGCTAATGTATCCTAATTATGGGTGAGTTGTGCATTTAAAGCTTGTTTTGAATTGTATAATCTCTAAACTACGATACAGAGTCTTCTCAGGTTAATTGGGTTTAAAGTATCAAATCAATCTAATAATTGTTGAGAGAATATTATGTTATTGGAATCATTCAAAGTTGGATTACGTACTGCTCTGGGCCATTCATTGATACTTAAATATTATTGCTCTGCTGACAAGTTTCTTCTTTTACCATTTTATAAGTTTGCTCAAATTTCTTGTTCGGTAAATCAAGGAAAATATACTTTGAGTCGATGATGAGATATTTTCAGCATCTACATCAAGTAGAAGTCTTTTTGTGTTTTGTTTTGTTTTGTTTAAATGTACATTTCTCTCGTTTCAGCATGGCATTTCTCATATGTGCTTATGTGCCTTTAAAACCACTATATGTGTAGGATTATGTGGTAGGCACATAGTTAACTTTTCTTTATTTTTTAAGTGTACGTTTCTTTCATCTAAGCATGTCAGTTCCCACATGTGCTTATGTTTTTTGAGAGCCACTACTGTTCTTTTTATAAGATTTGATGATGCCACAGAGTTCTGTTTAATTGTGTACTATTAGCTGACTGGTATGTATGTTTTCATTGTTTGATATTAATTGGGTTGATCATGGAATGATTAGTGACATCTGAGTTATTTTGGGTACATCTTTTTTTAGCGACTATTCTCTCTTCCATGCTTTCTTGTGTGGCATGTGGCAATTACAGCATGCAATGCCATTCATTAATAGATATTCTTAATCATTCCCTTAATAATCAGGGTTCGTTTGTCTAGACTAAGATGGTGTGATTGGTAAATGCAGGAAATGGAAGTGGTAGTTGCAGAGGGTATGTAGATTAATATTTATTGAACAGGCAAGACTTAGGATTGGTGGCCTTAATGAGGACCAAGAATTGTGTTTCCTAGTCTTCCCATTTAATTGATTGATCTCATACATGAGTTTGCTCATTCAGTGTGCAGGAGCACTTCAGCCTGTAGTTTAGCCCGAAACCTTGGTCCTTGTATTGTAATGGATTTGTAGTGGTGTCTTATGTTGTGTAATGCAGTGTCATGTGTATAATTTTATTTTCATTTTGATGATGGACATTTGCTCATCTATGTTCTGTCTATAGAAATTCTAAAATTTAAACTTGTAATGGTTGTTTTGTATATGCAGGTTTGGAACTTATGGACCTGAATACACTTATTCACAGGTCAGTAATGTTCTTAAGTGGCAGCACAATTGTGACTGTATTTTCTTTGGATTTATGAATGAGGATATTATGTTGTTGTATGTGCTGACTTGCTCCCAAAATTTTGTCATTTCTTTGGTAGGGTGTTTACAACCCCTATGCGGGTCAGCAATATCTTCAGATGTATGGAGTTCCAGGGACGGTTAATGCTGCTCTTTATCCTTATGGACAACTGGGTCAAACAATACCTGGTGGTCAGGGTTATCCTACAGTTCATGGATATGCAATGCCTGCCCAGCAGATAGTCCAATTTGGTGGACCCAGTGTTAATGCAGTTACAACTGCCCCAGTGCCTCCAGTTCAAGCACCATATCCTACAGGTACATTTATGTCCTGAAATTTTTCTTTAATCCTTCAATATAATGTTAGTGGAGTTTTGTGCCACCAACATGCACCTATTTTAGAGCTCATACTTTGTGACATTAAAAAAATCTGAGGCTTGACCACTCTGGCTTGATCACACTACCTAAAATGATGGCAGATCATGATAGATTGTAGTTCTTTTTTATGCCCATTTTTATTTGTCCTACATGGCTCAGCCTGTCTACAGTAAAACATAACAGAATGATCTGTTTATTTAGCAAGGAAAGATTAAATTCAATACTAGCGAGGAAAGGGGCTGCATTTTTTCTTCCTAAACACAGATACTGAAAGTCTTAGATTTCTATCCTTTTAAGTTTATAGAATAGAGAAAGAATATGGAAGAACAGAAACTTAGCAAATGTAAAGCAGTCTTTGAAGTATCCTGCTGGAGACATAAAGACAGCTAGATAGATTTTTCATCTAGATCAATACACCATGTAGTATGTAGGTAAACCTAACTGGAAAAGTGCTGTGATTTTTTATCAGGTATGGTAGCAAGTGTTGCGGCACAACCACATTTTATAGTTTCTGCTCCCCAATATATGCAGGGTAGTGGTTCTGAGCAAACAGCTGGGTGAGGGGTTGATTGAGGTTAGTCCCCACATCAGGGTAGAATTTTGTTCAGTCAGTTCTATATCTATTTCTCAGAGAAAAACAAAAGAAAGAAAAAGGCATCTACCTGCCACTAGTATGGTATAATGCTCTGAGGTTTTCTTAATATTGTTTGCAGGTATCCTTAGATTGCAGCAGGACTAAGAGCAGCAGAACTGCTACTTAAGTGGCGGGCTTCAGATCTAGCCTTGCAAATTTTATTTTGCATTCTAGAGGTAAATTTTGTCATCTTCTTTACATGTGTAAGGTTAAGCAAGATCTCTTTAAATTCTGATTATACAGACTTTTTCTGGAAAGAGCAAGGCAAGTTGAATTAATAATATTCTCAGGATACCTTTGATGGTCAACTGATGATCATGCGGTTTCATGGTCTAGGTTGGAGATAAATGTCCAAATCAATTTAATGGAATGATTACTAGATTGTTGTTGTAATATTAATTAATTTGTAACCTATATGCAAATGTTTGTGGTTTTCCATAGCCAATAGTAGCCCTCCTGTTCTTCACCTAATAAGATTCTACACTGTTGTATAGCTAGATATGAAATTGCTCTTCTAGTGCTTACTCAATGATTGTAAATAATAAAGATAGTGATTCTTGTTGGAGCATTTTGTTTGTATACTAGATTTCATTACCCAACTCTTAAGCGTGAATTATTTTTCACCGGTTTGAATTTGTGTTGTTGATCTGGATGTGTTTTCAGTCTGATTATGATTTATGATTGCAAGCCCTGGCATCCCAAGGTTTACTCCTTTCTAGATTTATGCCTCGGTCTTATACAATTCATTTTTCCACAGGTCATACATAGTCATGCTCACCAGAGAAAACAGATGTCTGAGTCGCTCCAGATGGCAGAGAAGGATGGAGGAAACCTGCTGCTCTTCGCTGTAGGACATTTATCCTTGGTGCATCTAAACCGTTTTACTTCCGTTACTCAAGAAAAGTGACGGGGGGTGTCATGGATTGGAGGGTGCTGGAATCGGGTTTCTAGCAGCCATACAGGAATAAAAAAAACTCTGTAAAAAGTCATGTTAGAATCAACATATGATTCTTTTATATAGTCTTGTCCCAACATTTTGGGTGTATAGTCTCTGGTGTCGTGTGTTGGTTGGTCCATATTTCTAATGCGGTTCAAGTGTTGTGCATAATAGTACTAGGATTTCCATTGAAAACTAAAGCGCCAGTAGTTTATATAATTTCGAGTGCCTGGCTTCACAAGGAGAGAAGCATCAGGTGTATTCTATTTCTTTGGAAAGAAGAATTTTTGTGTACTGATATAGTAAAACTTGTCTCGTCTATTGATATTGATCCTTCTGATTTGAAGGATGTGGAGTTTATTAGTCAGTGGAAAGATTTCTCCCCTTTGTTCTGTTTCCATCTGAAACTAGATGACTGATGTTGATATTTACAAGTGCTACTTGAGAAAATGCAATGTTTTGACAACCAAGTCCAACAAAGACAAGCTAAGCGGACTCACTCTTCATGAGGCACATGCATTCAGCTGTTGGGACATGAAGGGGCAACTAAAGTGTTGCTTTATGCATGTTTTTTACCACTTGATCTTGTGTTGGATTAAGGGCTAACGAGTAGGATAGTGGACAAGAGGCTTGTAGCTCAATTGAGTGAGAACATTTATTCTTGGCACAGCTGCATAGATGTCCACTCATGGTAGTTGAAAAGTTTATATTTATTTATTTTAATATAAGCTATAGTCTATATTAGGAGGGGACTCCAACTTCAGTGGAAGGGGGCGAGTTCATTGTTTTTTTTTTATGGGATATAAGCTATAGTCAATACGAGGAGCGCACTCGAACTTGGGTGGAAGGGGGTGAGTTCACTGTCCTCACCAACTGAGGGACTCGAATTTGGGAATGTTCTGAGAGTTTTTTTTTGGACCAAATGTTCTGAAAAAGTTTGAAGTGGTGCGTTAAGTAGAAAATAAAAGAGGATGACAAGGAACAGAAAATTCATTTATGCCAATAGGATTTGGCTTTTCGTCCTAAAGCTAAGGGTGGTTTGGGATTTAAGAGAACTACTATGAATCAAGCTCTCTTGGCTAAAACTGGTTGTCACCTCCATTGTAAGGAGGGTATGGGCAAATTGTTTTTTAGGGCAAATTGTTTTTCAGAGCAAATATTTTTAAAAAACCAGTCCATAATGGATCCTTCCTTAAAAGAAAAAAGAAGGGTGTTCTACTACTTGAAGGGGGATTCTGTATGGGGCAAAGCTTCTTAGGCAAGGTGTGATACGGAGAGTGGGCAAAGGTGATATGATCAAGTTCTGGAAGGATCACTGGGTCACTGAGGAGCCCTTGTTACATCAAGAGGGTGTATTGAGTTCTCATGATTTGGAATGTACGCTTTGTGGAAGATGGTTGGTGGGACATTGACAAGCTTCGTGATGCTCTTACTGATGAGCTTGTCCAGAAAGTGATTGGTACACCTGTTGGGTTTAATAGCAATTTGCAAGACATTCAAATTTCTCGACCTGCGGCAAATGGGATGTTTACTGTTAAAACTGCTTATGAGTTGTTGGTTGCTAGGCATGGCTGGAGCGACCCCCTCTGGGAGCATCTTTGGAGGTTGAAAGTTCCCCCTAAACTAAAGTTCTTCTTATGGTTGGTTTGCTATGGGAAAATTCTTTCTAATGAGCATAGGTATAAAAGACAACTTACTTTGGATCCCTCCTGCAGCATTTGTGGTGGTAGTTCAGAGACGGTTCTTCGTATCCTAAGAGAGTGCCCACAAGCTAAAGAGGTATGGAGAGCTATTTTGCTTCTTTTGCAAGTCCCTCATTTCTTCCAGCATGATTTGCAGCCTTGGTTATCCTGCAATATACTTAATAAGAACAAAGGTTGTGCAGGCTTGCCTTGGAATACAATTTTTGGTTTTACCTGTTGGTATATTTGGAAGTGGAGAAATCATTGTGTTTTTAATAGTGAGGAGGCTCTACCTTATTGCCCCCAAAATACTATTTTGAAAGCTGCTAATGCTAAGGAGTGGTTATTGCATGCTTATGTGTCTCAACCTCAAAAACTGAAAGTGTTGGTTTCTCTTGCTTGGGTTCCACCTGATGTGGGATGGTTCAAACTGAATGTGGATGGCTCTCGGAGATTTTCTAGCGGCACTATTGGGACTGGAGGGGTACTTCGTAACTGTAACGGGGATTGGGTTGAAGGCTTTACTGCTAGTTTGGGTCAAGGGCAGGTTTTGGATGCTGAAATTTGGGGTTTATTCTTTGGTCTGAAGTTAGCAGTGGCTTGCAACATCTCTCATCTTACTGTGGAGATGGACTCTGCTTTAGTGGTGCAGCTCATACAAATGACTGACCCCATTCTTTTCCATCCTCTAACTGGCGTAATTATGGACTGCAGACATATGATGGCGCAAATTGGTCAGTGTCGGCTTCATCATATTTACTGTAAGAAAAATTGTGTTGCAGATTGCTTGGCTTATGGAAGCTTCAATAGAGTTCTACGCTTCTGTATTTATGATGCTGCTCGTGGTTGGTTAGCTTCCTTATTAGCTGATGATGTGTTAGGGTTGTCTTGAACCCGTTTGATTTGTTCTGAGTTTGTATAGTTTGCTTTTGGAGTGTCAACCATATTTTTCATCCCAAAAAAAAATATATAAAAAACTATAAAATAAAATAAAAACTAAAAAAAGAAAAGAAAAAGAAAAAGAACAGAGGTAGCAATGCTCCTTGCTCCGGGTAATTATTTTCTGTGAAATGGCAATAGTACCCCTATTGTTTTCTGAAATGGTGATACTACCCTTATTATTTTGTGAAATTGATCGAAACATGTTATTTCTTCGTCGTCCTCTCCAGGCGCTTCACTGAGCTCACTCTGTCTCTTTGACAGTCTCAACTCCATCGACTCTCTAGTCCCTTACCATCCCATCTCATCGCTCTCACTCTCAAACCATCGAGTCTTCTCATTAGGCATATCGACGCCTGATATCTCATTTATTCGACGGTAAGTTCCTATCTCATTAAATTTTCCATTTTTGTGTTTTATACGTCTTTATTTTTTGGTAGAGTAGGCATTTCTGCTTAGGATTTTTCTTTTCTTTTTGGCGTTTTCGGGCTGTATTTTTCTTATTTGTTCCTTGTTTCTTTTGGGCTTATTGTTTTGGATTGATTTTGAGGCAGTTTGTTTATTTATTGGTTTTCTGGTATGGGTTTGATTTTGTTGTTGTTGTGTGATTATTGTGCTCCTGTGCGTTTTTGTGGATGATGTTTATAGGGTTCCCAATATGCATTGAAATTTTCCTTTATTCTGATGTATTTGGTCAGTGAATGTTTAAAAGAAAACAGGGGTTGTGTTTTGTCAATTCGTTGCTAGTGGTTACTTTTTCCCCGTTGAATGCTCCCGCAGATCATGAGAAACCCACATATATGAAGTGAAAATTTTTCCTTCAAGTTTTGTACCTACTTTGTGATTTGCCATGTGCTGTCTGTTTTGATCTTATAGAAAAGAAAGGGGTGTTTTGAAGAAATTCGAAGTCTATGTTTTAGTATTTTCTTTTTCAGTATTTTCATCTTCTTTCTTCCAGAAAATGTGTCAGCTCTGTCGAGCCTTTTTGTTAGAACCTTTGCTTATTTATGGACGTTGGAAATCTAAATGCATTATATCAAGTTAAATATATGACTCAAAGCTCAGCACATCCATTTTTTATTTATAGAACTTCGAAGCTCAGGGCTGTAACCACATGACGACCAAATCAGCAGTCCAAGACTTCTCATCTGACACTTCACGCCGACCCAATCCTTCTCCAATCTCTTACAAGCCCGAGACTCCAGCCACTCTACACCCTCCTCAACCACCTGCTAACTCAGACGTTCATATCGTATATGTACCTAGCTATTCCAGTTAGTTCTCATGGGACCATATCCACCACTGTGAAGTTCGATTCCTCCCAGAGTTTTCCGATTCTCACTCACCTTCCAAGAATCCTAGGCTTTACATGTACTATCGCAACAACATCATCAAGCATTACAGGGACCTGCCCGAAAGCTCACCTTCACTAATGCCCGTAAGACTCTCGTTGGTGATGTTGGCTCCATTCGCAGGGTTTTTGATTTTCTTGAGGTTTGGGGTTTGATCAATTACTCCTCCGTGCTCAACGAGCCCCTTAGGTGGGAGGACAAGGACAGCAAGGCTGCCTCTCCGGTCGCTGAATCCCCCACAGGTTGTCCTGAGGACTCTTCCACTCCCAACAAGGAGAGCCCCAAGAAGAGAGTGTGCCATGGTTGCAAGTCTCTTTGTAGCATTGCCTGCTTTGTTTCTGAAAAGGTCTCTCATTCTTTTGATATCATTATTATAGAAGTGAACTGATTAACAGACTGACTGAAGCATGATTTTGTCAAGTAGGTGTCTTGCAGTCCCTTAATATGTCATATTGTCCTCACATCTGCATTGCATAAATAAATTTGGGCACTCCCACTTTTCTAAGTCATATGTGTGACACTTCACAATACTTGTGGGCACAAGGGTGGAGCCAGAACTTTTCAAAAGGGTGGGCTAATATTTTGTTAATTGAAAAAATAAAGATAAGCTACATTGGGAATTGCTACTTTGGAATTTTTTGGGCTTCAAGGAGCTAGAAAAATATGGGTTTTGTGTACTGGCTAGCTTTAAAAATGAAGAAACTACATAGATTGGTAGGCTAGAGTTGCAATATCCTAAAATATTGTGCTGTAAAAAGTATTTTGCATCAAGGTTGCACTGGGCTATAGTCCAGGGCAGCTAACATGTAGCTCTGCCCTTGCGTGGGCAGTTGCATTGCATGTAACATTTTATCTTATTGTGGTTCCTGGGACTGATCTTTTCATTCCTTGTTGGTACCAGTATGACATGACTCTCTGTGCAAGGTGCTATGTTCGCGGGAATTATCAGATTGGTGTAACTTCTTCAGATTTCAGGAGGGTTGAGATCAATGAAGAGATGAGGAGTGATTGGGCATATAAAGATACTTTGAATCTTCTAGAAGCTCTCATGCATTATGGTGACGATTGGAGGAAGGTTGCACAACATGTCGGTCAAAGTGAGAAGGAATGCATCACTCATTTCATTAAAATTCCTTTCGGTGAAGAATTTATTGCTGATTTCGATTCTGGGGATTTCAACTACAAGAATAGTAGTCCTTTGAAAGACTCTGTGGATTCCAAATTTGGAATGGAGAGTAATGGTACACCATCCCCAAGTAAAAGAATGCGTCTCACACCTCTTGCAGATGCAAGCAACCCAATAATGGCTCAGGTGATACAAGTAGAAATAAGTTCCCTTGCCTTTCTCTTAGTGATGCCTTTCTCTTAGTGAACTGAGTAAAGTTCTAAAATGAAAAGGCACAAAGCATATTTTCGTTAGGTCACCTTGAGCATATAATAGTTTTGATTTATTTTCTTTAATTAATAATACATGTGACTTCTCATTTCTTGAGTAAATGTGTTCTCAGAAATTTCTTTTTATTTTTTTATTTTGCAAAATTCAGGCTACATTGATTTTTGTATCATCTCTCTTTCCTTTCAGGCAGCCTTCCTGTCAGCTTTGGATGGCGTAGAGGTTGCAAAAGCTGCTGCTTGGGCGGCCGTAACAACCCTTTGTGAGGCGGATTATGAAACAAGTAGACTGAGTCTAGGATCTCAGGCTTGGAATGCAAGACAGCATGGTGTGCTTCTTGTTAAAAACCCTTCTCTAGCATAATGCTCAATTAGTTTATTGCATATGGACCCGAACTTGTCATGGGATTTTCTAAAATATTGAATTTACTAGCACTGGGAGGACAATCCTATAAATTTACTTGGTGAAGAGAATTTTGTGACCATCAAACTCCAAGTAGAATAATGGCTTGCTTTCTTACGCAGAAGTGAATGCTGAATCCAATGGGGACACCAACCTAGATGAACTGGGAGGTGCCTTTGTAGATGCAAATTCACAGCTTGAAAAGGAAGGGATGGATGTGGAGAGAGCAATTTCTGGGATTACAGAGGTGCAGGTATGTGAAATTCTGGGGTTAGTAGTACGGTACTCTTTCTAGTTGTAAACTATTTTCTAACCATCGGAAGTTTTGCAGATGAAAGAGATTCAAGAGAAGATTGTTCGTTTTGAGGAGTTAGATTTACAGATGGAGAAAGAACGGCAAAAACTGGAGCAAATGAAAAACATGCTCTTTGTTGATAAGCTAACACTTTCATTTCATAAAACTTGTGCACAAAAAACTGAAGGAATGGAGAAGAATATACAAACAGATTGATTTTCCGTAGTTTATGTATGTTTATAATCATCTAGTTTTATGTTCAAAACACTGTCCATCTAGTTTCCTCTCGCTCCTCCCCTCTCTAAAGCAGAAAAGGAGAACAAAAAAGGAAAACAAAACCGCTGCCCCCAAGTTGCCGTAGGGACAACTCCAAATTAATTACCAGGATTTGATTGAATTGGAAATATTTGAGTGGCACTTATAGGCGTTTCTAGGAGAATATAACTCGAAAATCTGCCTGATTTTCGAACACGAGGCATGTGGATACATGCGTTTAGGGTTTGATTTGTAAGATGTTGAAGTTGCACTCCAAAATAATCATCTTGCACTATTCTTGAAACTGTTATTACATAGGAGAATAGAGCCAAGCTCCCAAGTCATAAACTTTTGTATCATATTTGATACATTATGCACATTGTTTCATATAATTCATAAGTACGGTTGGGGCTCAAAACCGATATTAGACTGGTTCAACTTCAGTTCCCTGGGTATTTAGCAGCATCAGCTAGGATTATTGCTCTTCCAAACGCAGATATATATATATATATATATATATATATATAACAAAATCTATAAATTTCCAATCAAATTAAGGTACTGCTACAATAATATCCAACTAAATCCGTCGTCAAATACGCAATCTGTATACATTCAGCAATCTTCTCTTGGCAGCTAGATGTTTGATTGAAATGTATTTCATTAGATTACCACAAAATATTGAGTGTAAAACTAACCCAACCAAAACTGGTAATCCAAAGTTTCAAACTCTGCCTGGAGCCTGGAGGTTATTTGTCAAATGAACTTGAAGGATTTGACAGCCTGCAAAACCAAACAAAACTTGGCACTTTCGGTAAATGAATCAAAGGTCGTCAATCTGGTGTATCATCCTAAATAAGTGTCTAGTCTAACCTCTGCCAAACTACATATTTTGTCTATGAACAACATATACTTTTACTTTTAAACTCACCTTCTCAATATTGGAACTGTATTTATCTGATTCTTCCTCTACATACTGCAGCAAAACATTGCAATGTCAGCATTGCAGGTTGGCAGGTCTAACATTATAAGAAACAAGGGATCCCAATTCCAGAACACAGTGCAATTTAGAAATTAAAATGAGGTTTTCTCTGCATATCTATCTATCTGGTATATAGTTTCTAGTGGAGGCAACTTGCAATTACCTGTCCGGTCACGGTATATAGTCTGTTGTACCAGCCGTTTGTTGCCATCCCAAGAGCTGAAAACAGGTGCTTCACACTTTCACCAGGTTTTTGCAGCGAATACTCGATGAAGTAAAGCCCTGATCATCATCATCATCAATTTCAAATCATTACAATTTTATGAACAATCTTCCGAAGTTGGTAAACTAAGTGATGCTTCATGCCAATACCTTTAGATGCTTTGCAATCTATAAGTTTTGCTGTCACTCCTGCTGGTCTTTGCCAGCTCCTGTCTAATCCGCTAACCTATGTTTGAAGACCATACAAAAGATTAATGCAAAATTAATGAGTAAATTAACAAGCTTCGTTCGCATTTTGAATGAGCATAAAGTAATTAAACTGGGAGAAATGAAGCGCCTAGCTACGACTACCTACCAGAGTCTCAGCAAAGGCTTCAACTTTGCCAAAGGATTCCATCTGTGTAAAATCCGGACCAAGTCCCGTGATTACAACGCTAACTGAAGCAGTAGAGCAGCACACAAAGCAATTATATATAACCAAGTCCAAAAATCACAAGATTGGTCCAAATGAGATTGAGATTACCCACTTGAGCTATATCCCTCTTCCGGATAGAAAGCGGTTACTGATTTAAACCCAGTTGGTTCTCCAGCACCTACTTGCCAGTCTCCAAAACCAAAATACTAAAGCATTCAGTATATTAACTTGAGGTCTTCTGGGTTAAAGGAAACCAAAATTTTACATAGAAAATTAGATTCACCTTGAGGAATCAATATCTTGAATTTGTTCACATCATCAATGTAAATGCGAAAACCCTCAGGCACATCTGAATTAACAAACTCCAAGAAAATTCTTAAAATTCAACTGAGTTACCAATATCAATATGGAGAGGGAGAGAAATGATCAACTATATGTTACCATTCTCTGCCAACGCATTTGAAATAAGTTCCGGAAACGAAAATGCAGCAAACGTCGTCCCAAGCAAAACTTGTCTTCTCTTGGCTTGACATTGAATGCCAAAACTGGAAAACAAAAGGACATATGATGTAAAGGAATCATCATGCTATATATTTCTTAAAATGAAATTGAGTGTGATGATGCTTTATATATACCATGATTCTGGTTCTGGTTCTGGTTCTTTGTTTCTGCAACATTGCACGTAGCTTTTTCTACAAATGGCGATGCCTGAAGAAACAGAGAAGCAACAATTTTAGATGATTAACTCTGACCTGCCAAGAGTAAAGTTAAGTGGGGAAATCCATATGGGTGTGCAGCTGAGTTGAGCGGAAAGACCTGTGTTGTTCGACAAAGGTCGCAGCAGGGGCAGAGAATACGAAGACGCAACGCACGCCATGCCTTTTAGATTGCCTTCTGCCTGCCTCGTTAGTTAATTCATTTATTCCAGCTATGTTGTCGTGGGCCATTATTTCTTTCCTATCTTGATGATATTTTGACAATAGACAAATAAACCTCCAACTTATGTCATTTTGTATGGTTATATGTCACAGTACCTTGTCTACATTTACTTTCAGAATATATATATATATATATATATAAGTGCTACTATTTCCATCCATCTGTCCTGTTTTCTCATCCACCTTATCTTCCCACTCACCATGTAAATTTGAAAAAAACACAATCCTATCTTTCTACCCACCATTATTCTTAAAATACTCCTTAATTATTAATTCAAGCAAATTCTCTTTTCTATTAAATTGTGTTATTTAAATTTAATCTAATAACTGAAAAGAGCAATTGTTTGCTCTAATTGGAGAGATTTGACAACAAAAACAAAGCTAATAGAACAGATTTTCAACATGAGCATCTGAATACATTGGGATTTGCTCTGTGGGAGGATAAGACTTTTGCCATGTTGATCATTGGGATTTGCTGGCCTCCTACAAATGGGAAGAGTACATGATGACTGGAGTTTCTGATGAAGAACCCATGGTTTTGGCTCAAAACTTTTGGGTATAAAATAAGAGGTTGAGGGGTGCTTTGGATTTGATGTTTGATCTTTGTGCTTTGGATTTTTTTTTAACTTTTTTTAATTTTAAGTTTGAGGCAATTGTTTTGTTTTTTAATCATTTTCCATAAGTCCTTAAAAGTCATTTTATGAAGGGGTAAAATTGTCTTAAAATTTTTGAAGATAAGGTGGGTGGAAATAGCAACACTCATATATATATATATATATATATACAGTCTCCTTTAGTTGAGGGATCCCTCAAATAGTGTTATTTGAGGGATGGGGCGTTCAGCTGTTGGATCTCTTTTAATGAGCTTGTGTGGCTGTGATTCTTTTAAATGTTTTAATCCGTTTTCACACTCCTGACCCACCACAAACTCCACTTACGTAGCTTGTGTACGATTGCCTAGAGATTGTGTAGCTTGTGTACGATTGCCTAGAGATTGCATCAGCCCAAAAACATCGAGTAATCTTGTGTTCAATATTAAATCTCGTCTCATCCACATCATCGGATTTGCGGGAGAGTGTTAGACAACATCCCTGATTTATAGCTAATTGATGTATATACCATTTATATCTCTCCAGTCAACTATATTAATTGTTAATCTATGTAGACTGGGAATTCTTTTATATGTCTTTCCTATTGTAATGTTAACTTGGCTGTATATATACTTTCCTCCAACAATGAGAAGAATAACAATTCAGATTTCACAGACTTACACTTATAAAAAAAAATTGGCTTGGCTAACAATAAGAAGGGGAGGAGGACTTGCTGTTGTTTTGGGTGGGATCATAAGAGCACTTCCACCGTGGATGGCATACCCGAGCAGAAGGGGGCCCAAGGGCCAAATTGCAGCTCCAGCGCTCCAAGTCCAGCCTAGGCAAGGGTTGGGTCCCAGAAGCCTAGGCAAGCCCACGGGCAATTTCAACTTGAGCTACAGGCTGGGCAAAATGACAAACATTGCATTGTCTTTGCCTTACCCTTGCCCTTTGGGGTGGAGGTGCTCTAAAAATGCTTTCTACATAAGCATTCAGGACACACTACTAAGTGTTTGTTATAAGATAAACACTTCTAAACAAGTGCTTATAATCTAGCAAAAGTTCTTTCTATTTTATTAAGGTCCTATTTGATAACCATTTTAATTTTCAACAGGAAACTTGAAAAATGAAAACGAAAAACTTTTACCAAACATGTTTTCATTTTATTTTATTTTTCAAAAAAAGAGTGAAAATAAAATGGTTATCCAACGTTCCTAATATTATGTGTGCAGTTAGAATGTTCTATTATGTGTTAAGCAAGCAAAAATTCTTTTTTATATTTTTACACAACAAGGTGAAGTGAGCAAAAACACAAGTGCAGTGTGCGGCGCGGATGACCAAGTAACGTTCATGAGAGCTGTGATGAAAGATTGGACTTAGGAAAAGAGAAGGAAAAAGAAGAAAAGGAGAAAGCGCCAAACACAAGATTGACAAAAAGAAATGTTATCCAAACGGGTTGAGAGCAGCAAATGCGATATACTCGCTTGGTTTGAAGGACCACGTAGACAGCGACCCACTTTGTTTTTGAATTTTAAAATTGTAACAGCGAGTAATATCAAAGCACAGTCGACAGTCGACCCAAACAAAAAAGCAAACAGCAATGAAGGCGTTGGATTGGAGTAAATGCAAATTAAATTATTAATATATTTTTTGTAAGAACGCAAAATAGCAAATTAGGGCTTGGCTTTTACTCGCTTTTTTAATATACGCCCGTACACGGAAAGGCACGAAATAAAAAGAAAATATAATATCCGAATTAAAATATAACTAATATTCAGAATTCTCGCATTTCTCAGAAAAAGGGCTTCGGAGCCGCTCTGCGTTTTCGTTCCGGAACCCTAGAATTTCCGCGTCGGCGTAATTTTCCTGAATTATTGGTAAGTTGAACGTATTTTTTGGGCTTATTTTACGATTTTCCTCAATTTTCTTTGTATTTTCTTTTTTTTTTTTTTTTTTTTTTTTTTTTTTTTTAAATTGTTCGTTGGTGGAAGTAAAATGCTGATTTTTGCTTGGTTTAAGCTTTAATATTTAAATATTTTGCATGATCTATGCTGAAATTTGAAAATAAAAAAGGGCAAATGTAAAATTTTCCGGTGGTTTTTAAACCAGGTCTGTAAGTTGAATGTAATTCTCGTCGCAGTTATTAGGGTTTGTTGTTCAGTTGGGGTTGGATTTTACTCCCAGATTCGTGGGTAAGTATGCTGTCAGAGTTAGGGTTTAGATACTTGTTGCAGAATGAGCTTACTTGGAATCTAGCATCATCATCTTCTTCTCCTTTTTTTATTTTTCTGTTTTACTGGTGGTTAAGAATTAAGATACCACAAAAAAGAATAATCATTTTGTAAATACCATTTTAAAATTGGTTGGTTTTGTTTATGGATTAGGGTTTGTAAATTGTGCTGATCTGAGAAATGGTAAATTTCTTTGCACTCGCTGAGCTTTTTTTAATATTTTTCTTATGGTGTTTCAGAGGCTGGTTTGATGGGATTTTAGTACAAGTGCAAAACTGCAAATAATTATTATTTTTAAAAAATTAAAAAAAAAAGAAGAAAAAAAAAGATGTCGGGATCTGAGACAGGAGTGATGACGAGTAGAGAGCCGTTCAGCGTCGGTGGTCTGCAGAAGAGTCCGCTGCAGTCACAGGCCGCCATACAGAACATGCGCTTGAACTTCAGTCCTGACGGCTCTGCTGCTGCTCTCTACAAGCCTGTCCCCGCCGCCTCCTCACCCACTTACCAGTCCTCGGCCGCCGCCTCTGCCGCTGCCGGCGGTTCTGCTCATGTTCCGGTACAGGCCGGCGAGGGTTCACCAGGTGCTGCTGTTATGGCCCCTGCTCCTGCTGCTGCTGGGCTTAACATGAACATGGGTAGTGAGCCAATGAAGAGGAAGAGAGGGAGGCCCAGGAAGTATGGGCCAGATGGCACCATGGCACTGGCTCTCTCACCTTCAGCTGCGTCTGTGACCGTAACCCAGTCCAGTGGTGGAGCCTTTTCTCCTCCTCCTCCTCATCCTCCTCCTCCATCTGTAGGTTCTGCTTCACCCACTTCCATCAAGAAAGCCAGAGGCAGACCACCTGGTTCTACCAAGAAGCAACAATTGGATGCTTTGGGTAAAGCTTCTTTCCTTTTATTATTCTGATTATTGGGTTTGCTTTAATTTTTTGTGGGCTGCGTTTTAAATCTGCGTTCTTCTGTGTCTTTGATGTTGCTATTGTTTTTCTCTTGCGTTTACCCTTGTCTGTCGCGTGGTGATTTTTCAGTGTTTGAGTGAGCCGTTGGGTTTTAAGGCAACAGTGGCTTTGACTTATGCCCACACCGGGATCAACTAAGTTCTATTTTTATGTACTTGTCTTAGGTTTTTTTCTTACTTATTATCATCTCTATTGGAGGTTCTTGTTCCCACCCATTTGGGTTTCTGACAGAAAATGAAGTGGTCGTTGTTTTTTTATTTAATAAAAAGGGATATATTCGTGGATGACTCTATGGAATAGAAAAGGGTATTGGAACTGAGCTTCTGTTCAGTGCCTCTTGAGATTCTTATGTTTGTTTCAAAATTACTTATCTGCCCTTGATTCTTGTATTGCAATCAGATGCTGTAAGCTCAAAGATATTGAACCTTTGATTATTCATGATATTTCCATGCGCATATGATATCTTATAATGATAATGATTTTTGGTATTTCTTTCAAATGGAATTATTCGTCTTAAATTGTTTACGCATGGTCTATTTTACAGCGGAACTTTATCAATAAGATTTTATAAAATATTTCCAATATTGGAAAAATATGCTTTTGAAAGTTTCCAATCTGAGCATGCAAGTCCCTCATGCTGCTTAAATCTTATTGTTTCCTTTTCAAGAATTCAATTTTGATGTTGCTTTCCCCCCTGCAAATTACTGTATAAAAATAACGGTGCTAAGTGTTAATTTGTTTTCCTCTTTGTAGGATCTGCGGGGTTTGGATTTTCGCCACATGTTATCACTGTAAAAGCTGGAGAGGTTTCTAATTCCCCTTCTTTCTTTAATTTTTTTTTAATTTTTACTGCTCTTCCCTGTTTGAACATCACTGCACTCTTACTCTGAATAGTTGTTGAGCTACAAACATCAGTGCAACCCTTACAGTTTCCATATTCTCCAAGTTCTTGTCTGTTTCATATTATCGACTTTTGAATTTGACTGATCATTTTTCAAGTTGATAACAGTATTGAAATTTCATTTTAATGCATTTTATCTTTCAGGATGTATCGGCAAAAATAATGTCATTTTCTCAGAATGGTCCTAGGGCTGTTTGCATCTTGTCTGCAAATGGAGCCATTTCTAATGTGACTCTTCGCCAACCGGCCACGTCTGGTGGAACTGTAACATATGAGGTTTGTGAGATTGCTACCTGTCTGTTGGCCTTCCCTTGCATTGAAGTGGAACTGTTACATAGGATGTGCTGACTTTTTCATGCGGTTGTATTGAAAGTATGTTGGGCCTCAATAGTTATCCTCTGGACATATGGACAGGATGAAAAATTACTCCAAGTCTTTCTAGGACTGAAATTGAATTGTGTCGAAAGAAAAGAAAAAGCTTGGTAATGAAGTTGGTAACAGCTAAAGTTTTACATATACTCCACAACGCTGTGAAGAAAAGCACTCTAGGGGGCTACAGTAGTATTTTTGTTGTTTCTCATATTGCCGCTTTTACTAGTTTAAATTGCCCTTGACCTAACACGAGTGATTATCATAAACTTTTTGTTAATCATTTGGTAATTACGATAGGAGGGTCGGCTTCATTTTATGTATATTTTCTACCTATGAATTATTCTCTGCTAATTCCTGTTTTTCTTATGAATTTTCATATGCAGGGGAGGTTTGAAATTCTAACACTTTCTGGCTCATTTCTTCTATCTGAAAGTAGTGGCCAGCGGAGTAGAACTGGGGGCTTAAGTGTGTCATTATCTGGCCCAGATGGTCGAGTTTTAGGTGGTGGTGTGGCAGGTCTTCTGACAGCTGCCTCCCCTGTTCAGGTACATTTCTTTTAACTTTTCCCAAACAGTTATTTCTGTGTGTGCATTTTTGTTTATTTATTTTTAACTTGTGATGCGAAAATTATTGGTTTAAGTTCAGAAGATTTTCCACAATGTGTGGGTCTATAAACTGTGATGTTAACACTGGATTCTATATATTTGTTTCTTTGAGAAAAGGGAATTTATCAGCAGTATTAGCACTGCCAGATACAGCGTCTTCATATGATTGAACATAATAGAAACAGTGATTTTACGATTGCAAAATCCATTGCAGGTAGTAGTGGGGAGCTTTGTTGCAGATGGTCGGAAAGAATCAAAGACAGCAAACCAATTGGAGCCTGTAGCACCGAAACTTGCACCGAGTAGTGGGCCAACAGGGGCCAGTAGCCCCCAGTCACGCGGAACGCTCAGTGAATCTTCAGGCGGACCTGGAAGTCCGCTTAACCAGAGTACAGGAGGCTGCAATAACAGTAACCCGCAAGGCATGTCAAGCATGCCATGGAAGTGAAGCTTTCATAACTCCAGCCTTTTCACTAATTTGTGTAGTAGGCAAGATCAGGATCAGCAATGTTGTGTTTCTTAACTTTATTCGGAGTCTCGAGGGCACCCCGTTGTAGTTTCAACCTTGTGTAATGTATGTTTAGTAGAATAAGAACTGTATAATACTTTACTGCTTGACCTTATAGGATGTGGGCAGCTGAAAGTGTCAACCAGGTAACAAGAGGTGTTTGTGAAATAGAAATTAGATTAAGCCTTGTGCTTTTAGGACTTGGTAGGATTAGGATGAGTTGGTGATCTAGTTGTGTATCATGTGTTGGCTTGTTGTAATCTTTGTAGACCCTTCCTTCAGATATGCTCAGCTTCACCTTATTCTCGAATGATAAGATGGTAAATGGTGCCAATTTGATTCTAACCATTCTGTTTTGTAGAACCATCTCTTCTTTTTGAGTCATTGTGTTGCCTTCATTTTCCTTCTTTTCCTGTCTTGCTTGGTTCATGCCCATGTAACTCCATTTGTTACTGTTGCAAATATGGATATGTTTATCACCTATGGCGCGGAGTTCAGAGAAAGTCTTCGCCATTGTTTCTGGGTTGCTGGTTTTCGTAGTATATAGTCTTTCGTGCAGTGAGATCAACAAGCATCTACGGTTAAAAGTTGCCCGCGTCTGCCCTTAGCATTTATCTGCGATACTCTAAATGCAAACCAAATCAGAACTTAAATCAGCAATTATCGCAACTGAGTTATGCACCGAAATAAATTTGCTTATCTTTCTCCATAACCATGAGAAACAAAAATGATGTTTCTTTTGCAGCACTCGCTTTATCTTTTGGCACCTTTTTGTTTTTGATTTTGAATACAAGCTATATTAGGGGAAGGGAGAACCGATCTAGAACCTGGAGTCCATGGGTAATTTCTCTTTAACCACTTGAGAGACGATGCCCCTACCTTTTGGCACTCCAAATTGTATAAAAATCTTAAAATAAAATACTCAATTAGAGTGTTAGAATTTATGTGGGAGTGCCAAATGCTTGGGAAAGTAACGAACCAAACTATAATCAAACATATGAATTTCCATATCTGGAAACTTTGAAACTGTGAGAATCACATCGCCTCAACCCTTTTGTAACAGACACATGTATTGCATTGTACGTACATAAAACCATGTTCTCTCATACAGAACATACATAAAACCACTATCTTATAAAATTCTACGAACACTACAGGCATGCCATTAGTGACGAGGAGCTCTTGCCTTCCGTGCTCTCTTCAGCAGAAAACGTAATGAAAAAAACCCAAGAGCAAAGGTCTGCCAAAACCATCCTCTTGAGTTAGCAGGGTCCACCCTTTTTGCCAGCTTCCACGCGTATACAGCCTCTCCAATATGTACTGCTGCAGCTAGGAGAAACGTCGTCCTAACTACTCTCATTGACCGGAGAAAGAAGAGGCTAATAGCTTTGAAGAGTGGCACAGGTCCAATGTCTGGCAGATAAGCAGCACAGAATAGTGTGGCCATTCCAAGCACACAAAATAGCCATGCATATATTGTAGGCCCATCCAGAGTTTTCCTTTTCCTCTCCTGCCAGTATGAGATCGTAGCAGCCATTCCCTCTCGAGGAGTCACCATTGGGACATAGCCAAGCTCCTCCTTTGCTTTAAGGAAAGAGAAGTAATGGGTAACACCAACCTGTAATTTATACAAGAGATTCAACAAATGTTGACAGAGACGACATAAGTATAATTGGACTCACTACCCGTGTCTACATAGGATGAAGCTCTACTTTATATCCATAAAAAAATGCACTGATTAATGGTTTTTCTCAGAAGATTAGAATCACATTATTTCTTAAAGCTTGATTTCTCTCTCGGAGGAACCATATAGCTCAGAGAAATTGTGAATTGGAATAGAGGAGCTCGCCACAACAGTGAGATAAATGAGCTCGGCCACAATATCACTCAAGGCGTGAAACAAGTAAATACGGTCTAGTGCATCGGGAACTTTGATAAAGGATATCTTGATTTACTGGGAGAAAAAAAAAGGGAAATCATGTGTGCTAGATGGAAAGTCTTCCGGCTTCAACCGTAATTATATTCACTCTCCACGTTGCAGAAATTTTTGTTTCTATTGAGAGGGGAAAACAGTGAATGGATAAAGATAGAACTGCCACATGCATATCTCCAATACAGCCAAAACTTAAAAATGGAAGGATTAAGCAAACCTTGTATACTTCAGCAGGAAGGATCAATGGCTGAGGAAGCCACCATCGATTTAACCATGGATACAAGATAGTATAGACTGCCCAAAAAACCTTTCCTAAAGAAAGAGCGCGAGGTACAGACAAGGAGGCCTTTGGTAGGTCATAATCCAAGCTTCTCAGCAGAGGTCGGATGAACTCAAAGGTGTTGACTGGAGACCCTGTAAGAAAGGTTGGTTTTCACCTTTTACGTTTCAGATACTACCCTTTATGTCAAAGGAATAGTTCAATAATCCGTGTCTAGAAAATTCCAGTTAATAATATGACAACAAAAAGAAACTAAATTCAAAAAGGTAAAGTAAGGGTTGCATTGTTACCATCGGATACAAAATATGGCTGACCAGCAGCTATGGGATGCCTTTCTTTATCTCTCCCAGGAATGTCATCCAAAAGTCCCATGCTTGCCATTACCAGTGCAAGTACTAGGTTATCGACATAAATCCAATCTGATTTCACATTTGCTTCGCCAATTTTGAATGGAACTAGGCCTAACTTTGCCAGAGACACTATCCTTGGAAGGTGCCTTTCTTCACCCGGACCATAGATAGCAGCTGGACGAACTGCACAGGTGTAAAGGCACTTCCCACTCTTCTTCCTATAAAGCATAGAAACAACCACATCTCAGTATATAATTAATGCGAAGACAAACTAAATATGGCGGATAAGAACCCATAAACAATAGCCAGTGTCCTTACCAACAAAGATAACTCCACATTTCGGCTGGTATAAATACCACAATTTAATACTACTCACACTTGTGCTCATATACACAAAATATTTTGTATGAATCCAGCCCATGTATCCTAAGACACAAATTCCCAGTACACTAGAATGACCCTATTAACAAACACTTTTCCCTCACTAGTTTGCTCGCACGCATATCCTAAGACACCAATTCCAAGTACACTAGAATATCCCTAGTAACATATACTGGGAAAGCTTACTTGAAGAAGGCATAGGAACAATTTCAATTACAAGTACTTACCTGAAGGGACGAGCATTGTACTTGAGGACCAACTGCTCGGCAATTGATTTACTACGGCCATACGGGTCGACATGGTTATCAATGGGGAAGTAGCGCAAGGCCTCATTCCCATTGACAATCTCCTCTCCCCCAAACACAACATTGTATGTGCTCACATACACAAGCCTTTGGATCCCAAACTCGAGACAAGCGTCTAATATATGACAGGTTCCATTTATATTGACCTCATCAACACGACCAAACTGCAGCATTTCTTTTCCTGACATGCCATATGAAGCAAGGTGGAACACACAGTCTGCTCCGCGCAGAGCCTTTTCAACATCTTTTTTATGGGTAACATCGCCTACATGATTATTAATATTTACATAAAGATATTGAAAATTTCAATATACCCAAGTGAAAAAAATTGAACTTGAAAGAGAAAACGCAAAAGAAATGAAGAAAGTGGATGAATTTGAAAGGCGTAGCAAAGGGGTAATGAGTAATTGGGAAGATGGATCAAACCTTGGACGCAGTGGACGCCGTGTTGGCGGAGATTGGCGGACCAAGGGGAGGTCGTTCGGAGGTCAAAGGCTCGGACTTGATGAGCCCCTCTTCGAAGCAGCTCCAAGCAGAGTGCGGAGCCCACAAACCCCAACCCACCCGTCACCACAAAAGTGTTGCCTTCTATGCCTTCATTTTCGCTTAAGTGCATCTTTTCTTGCTTTCCTTCTTTCTTATTGTTTACTCGAATCGAACTCAAAGACCGACTCAGAAGAAGACTCTCTCTCACACTAGTCAGGTCACAACAAAATGGTGAAGAAGAAGTACAAGAATTTGATCTGCTGTGACGTTGGTGCACGCACAAGCCATGACATGTGTCTATGTTTTAAATTCTCAATTAATTATTCACCTAAAAAGAAAAATCACATTCATTTCAAAATCAGATTTTGTTCTTTTATCAGATTTCATAATCAGATTCAGATCTGTGTTTCAGATCTCACCACGTATCCTTAACGAGTAATATTTCAGCGGAGCAGTGATATTATGAGGCATGCTGACTCTGCGAAATGAGTTGTATTTCAGTAGAACGGTACAAATAAGTGATGTTTTAGTAGAACTGTGGACGGAACAGTAACATCACTTCGCTATTACCTATCAATTACGTTGTATTATACGTGATAATTTTTTCACATGACGTAATGTGATTGGTTAGAGATAGCAAAATAGTGTGCTATCTTGTTCTCCTGGATTAGGCTCTAGACAAGTCCTTTAAAACACACACGTACCAGCGACATTGCTTAGATGAAGTTACTATGAACATGGCCATGGTTTGTGATGAAGGGGCCTCGATCATGACCAATACGACCAAGTTCCCCTTGGTTATTATCGTTACTTTTTTTTTACTTGGAAAAGAACTAAGGCCCCCTTGGTTGTGAGACAAACTACATATCAAGGAGCAAGGGTTCTTTGTCAAAAGGAGACAAAGCTTGTTTGTTTTTTTGGTCAAAGAAAATAAAGCTTGTTGGTTGGTTGTGATGAAAAGGATCAAGATCCCTAACTTGACAAAAAGGGCAAAGCCGGCTTGGTGATGACAAAATGAACTACTGGTTATGAAAAGAATGGGAAGGGCCGCTAATCATTACAAGAAGGACAATCCATCCACACACCTTCTTTTTTCAGTGTTTTTTTCCCCATGTGGAGCATCTACACAAATTATATCATGTAGTTAAGTAGTTAATGTCACTCGGTAATATTAGAACAAGTTGGTATGCCATCCCAGAAAAGGGAAAGAGAGTTAAATATATATATATATATATTTTGAAAATCACAAACACAACCTTGGTAATTGGTATGCCATCCCAGTCCCACACATGAAACAACTCAGTGACTCAGATGGGTGAAAAAAAAAGAAAAAGAAAAAAAAAGAAGAAGAAAGTTGTAATATCATCTAGAACAAGTTGAAGTTGTTGTTGAATCTTAAGCTTCCATAACTGGCGCTGGCATAAGCAGCGAGGAGCTCATTTTGGGGAGACCAGAAATCAGCTTTCAATCCTCCTCTCCTGATTGCTTTCAGTAATTTGTTCCTGTGTACGCATCCTGTTACAATCACCTTCTGACTGTATGCATCTACTTCCACCTTTTCTATCCCTGTAATTAATTGTAAACCACCATCATTACAATCCATATTCATTTTTCATTAATATTATATCGATTGTACGTAGTTTAAGACATGACAACTTCTATGTAGCATATTTCATATACCACAAAGAAAGGTATATAAAACATGTTATATGGAAGTTGCCTCGTCTTAAACCACAATTCACTAAAAGAGAAAGGTGTATGAAACATGAGATAGACAAATTTTTTTCCACAACACAGGATACCTCTCAATTTGGACAAGCATTTCCTAAGTCGCTTCTCATGTATCCCAACCATCTCCACCTTCAATTCCACACTCTGCAAATTAACCAACAATATTACATATGACAAATGTAACATAACTTGTGAGGGAAAACACAACTGCTACACTTTCTAGAAATGAAAGGGTTAATTACTTGAAGAAAATATATATTAATTAATGCATCAATCCAATATAATGTTACCTCCATGAGAGAATTCTGGACTGGAAATGATCAACTGATGATGTATGTATGTATGTATGTGTATGTGTATGTGTATGTATGTACAGAAGCTTGGAATGAATTAAAGGAGCAAAACAATGAACACAAAGAAGAATGGATGAATGAAACAGACAGAGATTTTCAGTCACTTATATATAAGAGGGTTACAGAGTGGGGACATGAAAAAGATGGAATAAACAGTAAAGCAATCTTGGTTTCTGGGACTGTCTCTGCCTCGACAAAACTTCTAGAAATCATATGATCTGATCTGCTTTGTTTTTAATTAATTATACTTTGCTTTTTCAAAGACCACAAGACATATACCCTAGAACAAGAAAACGGTTAGCATAAGGAGACGGACCAGTGAGTGAGCTCAAGCTTCTAGGCTTCCCGTCTGCGCAAAGCAGTGTGAGTCTCAAGCATTTTGAAATGAATGGCTTTGACGGTCCAACTTACCCTTTTTTTTTCTGGTGGTGTTTCTTTGACGGGAATGCAGTCAATTCCTTAGGAATTTGCAATCATTGAGTGGATAATCTGAGCCGTCTACTGCATGATCTTGCTTGGTGGGGACATTCCCTCCTATCTTTAGTTGATAAAGACAAAAAAGTGATCCCTCGATCTGCTTGTAGTGTTGTGTTGTATTGACCAAGCATATACTTGTGCATATCGCAAATTGCAAGGTGAGAAAAAGGAAAAGAGTGAAAAAGAAAAAAGAGAATAAAAACTTGATGCAAGGAAAAAAACTTCCCAGCAAGTTTGGTATTTTTGGGTTCTCTCTTCTATGTAGTTTACTTAGCACATATTATTCATTATTTGGATTATTTATTCAAATTGTTCTCAAACTTATACCTAAGTTGTATTTTGATCATTCGACTAAATTATCCGCTCAAATGGTCCATCAACTCTTTATTATTTGGCAAATTAGTCTGCTATTATATTCTATCAATATTGTCGTTAAATATGAGGACATATTAGTCATTTTGTACATTAAAAATAAATAAATACTGAAAAATAAAATAAAAAGCTTTCTCTCTCTCTCTCTCTCTCAATAGAGCAATCAAATTTATTTCTTGTTACACTGGTTCTGCAGGATGGGTAATGGGTTCTCCCTAGGGAGAGGGGGAGGGGGAGAAGAAATCGGGAGGGAGGGGGAACTGGGTTTGGGTTTGAGGATTTTTTTTCTTCTCATTTTGTATTAATTTTAACTCTTTAAAAAAAAATTATGAAAAGTGATATTTACCCTAAAATTTGGTTAAATTTAACAGAAAATTGGACCGTGAGACCAATTTGACAACTAATAAAGAGTTGATAAACCATTTGAGCTAATAATTTAGTTGAGGAACCAAAATACAACTCGGGTATAAGTTTGAAGACCATTTAAGTAAATAACCCTTAATTATTATTAGATGTTACAATTTAAAGGAAAGACTTGAAGTGACGCTTAGGTGTGGTCCGTCCATTGGTTCAAATTACTATAACTTATTTGGTTGGTTAGTCGTTAATGTCAAAATGTTAAACCAAGGCCCAAAAAAGAACAAATGAAGATACTGGTTCCCTTACCATTTGTTAATATATCATTTGGAGCGATAAAAAAACCAACCGGGGTGGTGGCGCAGTTGGCTAGCGCGTAGGTCTCATAGCTTCTGAGTTATCCTGAGGTCGAGAGTTCGAGCCTCTCTCACCCCAGCACTGTTTTTCGTACAATTTTTTTTTCTTTCCTCAAATTGCATCGGCCAATTGGCAATAGAGCCCATGTTTTTCATACCTTAATATAAATGCAGCTTTTGTTTAAACTCAAAAGATAGTTTATTCTTGTGGTAGATAATAATTTAATTTCACCTAATCTAGATAAGGTCAATAACTAAAATATAGCATCTAATTTTATAATAATGTAATTAAAAAATCTCAAAATTACACACATTGTCACTCTTTCAAAATCAATCACAATGCCACATGTCCACTTCCAGCAACCCTTTATGGCTAGCCACCACTCACCATCAGCCACCGCTGCCCACCAACACCACCACCTCCAGCCGACGCCCTTTATTTAGGCGTGGCAATGGGTTATGTCGTGTCAGGATAATAACCGTGTTAAGAATACTCAACCCAAACCTGACCCATTTAATAAACGTGTCGAGTCTGGTTCGATTCGTCTTAAACAGGTTATTAAACATGTTACATGGTTAATAATCTGTTTACTTATTCCTAGTTTCCAATAGATTTGTACACTTGCGGGTATTTATAGTTGGATGATTAGCATTTTAATTTGTGTCGTTAAAATTAGAAGAAATAAATAAATAAATAAATAGAAAAATATTTATTTCACATTTATTTTTTATTTAAAAAAAACAACAACAATGTAACAACTCGATCCTAAATCAATTTTTAATCATTAATTTATTATGATAAAATACTATTTTACCCATATAATATTTTATTGGGTTTAAAGTTGACTTTTTGTTTGGGAAATAATTTGGGGATTTGGGTGGTACCATTGCATAGAGCTCGATGATACGAGTTCGTAGACATGCGGCACACCCAATTCTGAGTTGTAACGAAGGAGAAAAGGTCTAGAAACGAAAAGGGCATAGTGGAAATTTTAAAAATTGACTGTAGCTACAGTGCCGGGTCTTCTTCTTCCTTGCGATTTAACCAGATTTTCTGGTTATTTTTCTTCATTCCCTCCACTTCCATAATTTTTTTTAGACACCATCTTAGCTCGGTTGCCACTGCAACCTTCATGAAATCTCTTCCCCTCGTCCTCCTCTACAAAACTCACCCAAGCCCCGATCCGATTCAGTGACGATGAGCTTGATTCGAAGCTTAGAAAAGGGACGGGTTTTCCGGCGACTTCGACGGCCAAATCCGTCAAGTGAGATATGGTTTCTTACCTACTTTTTGAGTTCTAGCTAATAATTGGGTATGATTTGATCAAAATACAGGGGAGACTCTGTTGAATTTTCAGCAGAAGTCAAACTAGTAATAAAATTGGATTTTAGTTAGAAGGGCAATTTAGTCATTTGTGCCCAACACCCTTCAGGTGTCGGACATGCAATGGGTTCAGCTTGAATTCCAAAGTGAAATTTGGGTCGGGTCCTGTCAAACAACATCATGGCACACTTCTTGATTCCATAATAAGAGACTTTAGTTTGACCCTCTGGATCTCCTCTCTCGGGTTTTCTCACACTGCTTCTTGGGGCTTATCACTTGAGCTTCCAAAGATCCCTTTCTTAGGTTTAGCAAAACTTGGATCTCCTTGCTAACGTTTACCTGGTCGATCCAGCCTCCAGCTGCTCTTGCATGCCCTTAGAGTAAAAATCTAACATATTTGATAACTTTTGATTCTCTTCCTGGTCATTTACCTGGTCGAGTGTTTTATGACTCACTTAACAAGTTTGGAATTGACGACGTGTATGCACCAACTTGAGAAGGAATATTGACATGAGCTATCCTAATTAATCAATGAGATTTATTTCATTGATTAATTAGGTGATTTACTTCCCTATTTTATATAGTTGACATATCATTGTATAATTGGGAGATATTCTCTTTATTGATTACTGTATCTATTTCCTTGTAAAGAACTCTTGTAAACTCCTATATATACCTCCTTATGAAGAAGAATACAATTAACCTAAAGTATTCAAACCATATTCATATTTTAGCAAATCTAACTAATACGCAAGTGAATTTGTAAAGATTGTTGTAGTGAAAGTTTATTAAGCAAAGCAAGAGTTATAAAACCAAATAAACAAGAAATTAATCAAAGCAATGGTAAAGGTCTAGAGTCTCATAATCAACCACAAGTAATCCAAGTAAGATTTCAAGAGGGTTTGTGTTTGTTGGGGCTTGGAAACAATGAAAATAAGTGGGTGTAAGTGGTCGATGTAGTTATTTACTGAGTGACGTCTTCTTCTAAGAGTAAGCCTTAGCTCTTGCATTTTCAGTTTTCAACTTAATCCTCTTTCGTTTCAGTTGAAAAGAAAAGAAAAGAAATTTATAAATAAATAAATAACAAAATTTTAAATTTTAAAATTTTAAAAATAACAATTTTAAAATTTTAAAAATTTTAAAAATAGTTTTGAAGTTTGATACCAAATAAGTTTTATATCTTAAAATCAGCATTTGAAAACTAATATTTTTAAAAAGAAACATCGTTTGGTAGTTCACCTTTGTAAGTAAAGGTACCAAATGGGCTTTTAGAGTTTTCTTGGCTCAGGTAAAAAAGTTTTAAAAAAAAATGTTTTCAGCCCATCATCCTCTTTCCTCCCTTACCCACCGCCCAGCCCTCTAACCTCAGCAGCAGACAGCGGCTACTTCCTCTTGTGCTTCACTTCTTCGAAATCACTGCTTGTATTGTATCTTCTTCACAACTTCGTGTTGTTTTTCTTTTTTCTTCATCCCCTTTACGCCCCTTATCCATTTCTTCTTCTTCTTCTAATCTTCTTCATCGGCCTAACCCAGGTTAGTTCGAATTCTGTAATTTATTATTCTTAATTGTTTTATGATTCGCGAGTATGAACCCTTTTTTTTTTTTTTTTTTTTTTATTTTTTGTAGTTTAAGCTTCAGCTCTCATAACTTATCCTTCTTGATGGTGTAATTTAGACTTGTTGGTTAATAATTCCCTTTTTTTCCTGTAATTTTTTGTAAAGAACAAACTGTTGCTGCATTGTTGGTGTATTTCTCTGCACTTGCTAATTGGGAACCCCCCAAAAAAAATGAAAATGATATAATATCAGGCTGTGTTAGAGGATTTCATTAATTTTTATGTGATGTGAAAACCTCATCTCTAAATGCCTTAGCCAAGATGACTAAATCTTTATGTGAGTATCAACGTTGTGAAATTGTCTAACACTGTAAACGCACCCACGGGTTAGAAGTTAAGTTTTTCATTTTTAAAATTTATAGAAGTAAGAAAAAAAAAATTATATACAGTGAATCTACTTATCTTGAAACCATGAAGAGCAATATATTTTAGTATGATGTTTCGAGTCATTATTTATGCACTGAAGTTAGGTGAATTTACAGGTGTAGGTGGGTGTCAATAATTTTGTTATTGGAAAAGAATAAGCTAGAAGCATGGAAGATGACCCTCGTAAAACGTCAGTCAATCCATTGTTTGCCGACCAGCTTTTTCTACTGAACTTCATAATGGGCAATTATTTGGGTCCTGATGTCACATTTGATAACCTCGAATATTCAGCATTTCAAAGGATAGCTGAAGGTTCACCTCCGTATATGCCAAGTTATTTGGGACCTTCATATGTTAGTGTGTCTCTTTTGGAGGGTTTATATTACTATCTCTTGAGAAATGTTCACCCTAGCCTCATTTTGAGACCAGAAATGTTGCATAAGTATTTGAAGGGCAGCCTACCTTTGCCAAGTTCAGGGCTGACGAAAGACAGTTGGCAGTTCACAAATTTTTTCCCTTTGGATCTTCATGAACAGATATGGTACCCAGAAAGCTTCAGAATTGTTAAGGGGATTCTTTTTATTGATGATCCTGTCACATCATTTATGAAAGAGGACGATCTGGAAAAGTTCAAATCTTTATCTGGTATAAATAACATGAAAATTGATATAGATGAAGCCATACGATATCAACACAAGTACCTGGATAATGGGGAAAGTAAGACGAATTGCTTGAATGATGATTGCAATTTCACAAAGACAGAAATTTTTTCCAATGGAAATGGAAATTGGTCGGAAAGATTTCAGCAAAAATATAAGAGAAGGTGCTTCTCTCATTCTCCATCAAAGCCAGCATTTCCCCAAGTTGTTACTACAAAGCATTTAAGCAAATATGGAGCTTCATGGATGACCTGCAAACCAGATGGACCTGTGTTCATGCCCCTTATCTCTGTTCCTAATTTGGAAGAATGTACTTCAGATTCTTCTGTTGTTTTGTCTGGGACTGCCAGGAAAGGGGTAGTTGGGCCACCTGTAGGTGTTGTGGACATTGGTGTTAGCAAGGCTGCATATTACTTCCGGGTTGCTCTACCAGGGGTCAGGAAGGATTTTTGTACGTTCTCCTTTCGTTACTTCTTTTCATTTATTCTTGCTGACATATGATATTAAAATGCCTATAGTTTGGTGTCCCCCTTACGTTTTTAAAGTTTCTAAGGTACCTCCTCTACCTTGAATAGGATACTTGTCTCTCACTGCATCATCGAGTGGAACAAAGTTTATATGCAGTTAATGTTCCCATTGCTGCCAAGATATAGTGCGGATGTATATTCTAGGTAGCATTTTTTTAATGATTCTCACTCCTGAGAAGGTGAACACAAAAAAGCCTCTTGGAAGCTGTATCTTATCCCACCTCCCCCCATTCTAGGTCTGATTAGTACTGGGGAATTTGTTTGAACCCATGAAGTATACCTGCAACCCTGTACTCACACGTTCATGCTAGGCACAAAGGATATCTCATATATTCTTTTCATCAGCTAAATGTTCATATTTTTCACATTTACAAGTTGATATTATTTGTGGTAACAGGTCAATTCAATTGTGAGATTGAATCTAATGGCAAGATTCATCTCCAAGGCGTCACAAGTGGTGGAAATCCCATAAGGAAACGTTCGCGTGTATTCCAAATGAAATTGCAGCAATTATGCCCACCCGGACCATTCACGCTCTCGTTCAGCCTTCCAGGACCTGTTGATCCAAGGCTCTTTGCACCTAATTTTGGACCTGATGGCATTTTTGAAGGAGTTATCATAAAAGACGAGTGATATCTGTTGCTGAGTTACATTCTTGATGTAGCAAGGGTCAACAAAGGGGTAGGATTTTCTGACTAGTTCAGTCACTAACATCGTAGTCTGCTAGCAGCAATGTTGTAAATGTTGTAGAAAGAGTATTGGTAGGATATAGGTGAAGCGAGTGTGCTATTCAATCCTTTCCCTCACACATTTTCAGGCATGTGCATGCACAATGCACATACATCAACATAAGGTATGAAATGTACAATTTGGCGGGACACTTCATGCTTCTACGTATTTGGTGGGTCTAATTACTTGAAAAACAAAAACATTTGTTCATATTCTGATTATCGAATAATAAATCTTGTTTTTAAGTACACTACATGAAGTTATTTGAGTGGCTAGTTATACTCAGTGATGAAAATATCTGTTTTCACGGAAAAATCGATACTCGAATTTACGGAAATATCGATATTGTTGAGTGTAGACGGAAATGTTGGAAATGTGCTCCAAAACTTGGAAACTTTGGGTGAAACTGTAAGAAATACTCAATCACCCAATAATGCATGTATAAGAGTAATAAACTTGATAAAATACCATTCATATGATATGTATAGGAATGCAATTACGCTCCTATAACCATATTGACCATGAACATAGCATAGGCGTCATTTGAGTTACTGCGCTCAGTTCCTAAAGTCATGGAGTCAACACTGATAGCCATGGAATCCTCAGAAAATGGATTGCCATATCCTTCATCCATTTTTGGTGTCCTGGTGCAGTGCAGACTTTCCCAATAGCAGCAATGCCTACTCCACAACCAGTCTTCATCTTGGGTGGCATGAGTATGGTGACAAATAATAGTACGTGACAATTTACACATTTGGCAACTTCAAGGACAGCAGATCTGAGCTCCCCAAATTTACACCGATGCCAAATGAAAAAAATAAAAATAAAAATAAACGAAAAACTACTTGTCTTTTCCTTTTAGCAAATTGATAGGAATTAAATATGTTCTAAGATGACAGTTACGGTAAACTACAGTACCCATTTGTGACTTTTGGCGTAAAACAATAAAAACCCTCTTCTGAGCGTGCATCACCTGCATAGTCATCGTCTTCTTACAATTAGAGCTTCCACAGAGCGAGAGAGAGAGACAGAGGGAGAGAGAGGGGTTGAACTACTAGGGCTTGCACCTCTGAGTTGCGGTGGCTGTTGATCTGGAAAGGAGGACTGAGGTAAGCAGATTTGGTTGTAACAATCATCCAGAAGAAATTTTGAATTTTGAATTTCTTGATAAATGGGCCACTTTGGCATTGGAATTTAATTCCAGCTTGAAATCCATCAATTGTGAATTCGGCACTGTAAGGGCCGATGGCAAAATGCATTGCCAAATCCATGAAACCAAACTGACCATTTACTGAATGTTTATTTGATTCATTATTTTGCTATCTGGTTCTTCAATTTGCTCAAGTAGAGTAGAGGGTTTGGTGTTGCTTTCGTTATTTTAAACTGTGAAAATCTTTCTTAGAGCTCGAAGCTCTCAGGATATTTTTCTTTTAGGTTGCGATTAAGTTTAGTGGCGGAGCATGAGAGGTGAAGATACAGAAACTTAAGTCTGAAATCAAAGAATTTTTCTTTTGTGGTTAAATTTTAGGAACCATTTTGGTTCTCTTTGCTTAACTTGTAAACCCAAAAGAGGGAATATTCAAAGAAGCATAATATTTAGCCTCAAAGCTCTATGAGTGTGTAACTGGAAGGGGATAAAAAAGGACAATACCAAACAAAGCTAACTACTTTGTACATAAAAGAAGCTAAAACCTAGATGAGAAGTTAAAGGAAGAAACAAAGACATAGCTTTTCTCAGAAAATTATAAGAAAACAGTAAATATTCAACTTGATTGGAGGGAAGTTTGTATTGAGGGTTTTCCAGGATGGTGTTCTGTCTGCTGGTTTAGGTTTTCTCTTTGGGTTTTTCCGTCTCTTCTATTGTTTTAGGTGTTTCGTGCACTAATTGTCCATGCTTCTTGTATATCTTGTCTTTTCTCTTAATAAATCTTGTGTGTGTTATAAATATATAAGAAAACAGTAAATATTCAACAAATTTATCATCAGAAAACCTAAAACAATACCTAATTCCAAAATCATCAGTTCCATGCATCTATGAAAAAATAGCATGAAATTTTGTGCTTATTGAAAAGTGATTTGTGCTATAGTTCATGCTTCCTGAACAAGGTGAGATATGGCCCAACCAAACACGAATAAAGAACAACAGGAGCCAAAGAGACAGTAAAATTTCCAATCATAATTCTGTTCTGGTACTTCTTGAATCAATTGTTGTAAACAGGTTAGCAACCATGTCAAACAGTCAGCCAATTTCATGACCGCACTGGTGTTGTGCCTGATGTAATTTTTTGGTCCAAGTTATTCTTTACAAGAATGCTGTGTTTTGCCTTCATCTTTTTTTTTCTCCTTCCAAAGATGTCTGTATCTGCTGTGAGAAATGATATGGTCTTCATAGTAGGTTCTTCTAAAAAAAAATTGCAGCATGTGGTTAGCCTACTAGTGCCTTAACCCCAAAGACAAAAAAGTTTTGGGTCTTGATATAAGTTGTTCTTCCTAAACCTGTTTTATCTTGAGAAGTGTGGTATTAATCTCAGGCATGTATTTTGCATTTTGCTGGGTTTTCTTCTTCTCCTTTTTATAAACCTTTTTTTTCATGTGTATTCTATTTAGTCTTTCTTTCATCATCATGATTTTCTCACTCCTCAAATCTGTGTCTGCTTTTTTCTTTTTTCTTTTCTACCAAGACACCAATTACTAGCTGTCATACACCAAAAAGAAGAAATAATATGCTGTAATGGACATAAATTTCACAAGGCATTTCAACATAATCTGTAACTCATAGTTTCACACTAACACATTGAACAAGTTTTGTGTATTTTCATTTTAGTTTACGTAAAAGCTTTTATTTTCTTGTTTTTGAACTGCATGTGAGTATGCTAAATCTCAGATTACATGTGAACTTAAGTTCTGCTGATTAATATAGATTTTCCTTACTTCATGAAGCTTCACCAATTGCTTATTTAAATTAAACTAACAGGTGTATCTGAGTGATCACAACGGTAAAGAAACAAAGTTGGTCTCATGGGAGTGGAAAATGTCGCTGATCTTCCACCTCTGGATCCAGCTGTTGTTTTGATTGGAACAGCAAAGGGAGGTAATGTTGGACCTCCTAGCGGTCTTGTTGACATTGGCGTGAGTGAAGCTGCCTACCTTTTTCGAGTTGCACTTCCTGGTATTCGGAAGAATGAATGTAAGTTACCTCAGTTCTCATTGGATATGCATGTCTCTCATGCTGGCGTATATATGAAGCGCTATTATTGCACAGGGAGCTCTTTTTAAATGCTGAATTAATGTAGTCAAAGATAGCAATGACCAAGTAGGTAATTTTTGCTCTAGCAGGTAGGGTAAAATGTGATATCCAACGTGATGGAAAGGTTCATATAGAAGGAATCATGACAGGTGTTGGACTTTTGAGAAACTCGTCAACTGTGTACCGTTCGAGAGTCCAGCAACTATGCCCACCGGGAGCATTTAGCATATCTTTCCGTCTGCCTGGACCTGTTGACCCCCGTTTGTTTTCTCCTTATTTCCGGCATGATGGAATCCTGGAAGTGGTGGTTATGAAAGGCAGAGTACCTCTACCCTGAGAAGCCAGGTTTCCAAATCTGTGAGGTTAGTGGAAGGACACTCTCTTAGGTTATGGCGTTTATTTTTGCTTGAAGCGCAAATGGGGATAGTTGTAATGAGGGAAGAAAATGCATGCATACAAAGATGTTCTGTCTTGTTTGGAAAAAAGCAGTGTGTTTTAATTGGCGCAGTGATGCATAGAGTCAGTTTGAGGAGAAAATCAGAGTTTATATAAATGGATAATGAAGTTCAAATAGCTAGATTGTTTAATACAAAGAATTAATTGGAAACTCAAAATCTGGGGTCAAGCTTTGACCCAGATCATCCTTTATGCAACTGTTAATTATCAATTGTCAAAACTTGGTGAGGAGGAGCAGTGAATATAAAGTTGGACTTGGGCTGAGTTTTGGGTACACCTCCATTTTAGGATATTTATTGGGCTTCTAAGACTTGTTGTACTTTGGCCCAAATGCCACAAACTGACAAAGCTGCGTAAAGAGGTGGGGATTATGCACGAATGCCCCTTTAGTTTTTTTTAAAAGGGTAATTACAGAGAATTGAACAACAAATACACCCCTAAAGGATGGTTCTAGCCAGAATTAGAAGTATACAACAGAATCACAGAGGCCAGAACAATGAGTCTATGTATGAAACTGAAATAACTGCTCATTAGAAGCCAAATCCAGACACAGCAAGTATAACCAGCAATATCAGTGTCAAATAGGCTCCCCGCAATCGGCAAATCGCCTTTGTATTCATTGAAACGAGAAAGAGAGAGCGCTACCAAAAGGAAGAGATTACCACTTAATTCCTCCCAATAAAGTCATCTAGCACAAACCTTTCTTCACCAGGAGTCCAACACCCAACCTCTGTGAACAAATCTTGGCTTCTCCTCCATCAAACAAAAACCCCCAAAGTTGTGAGAGAGATCTAACCAAAACAGAGAAGATCCCACACACAGTCAAGGAAGTATACAGAGTCAAAAATTGGGGGAAGAGGATCCACACAATGCCCCTTCAGTTGATTGACCAAATTTTGCTTCGAGTCAAAATTCGATAAAATTTTTTTTTAACAAAATTCTATAGCATTTTGCTATATAGAATTTTGCAATTATTATCAAGATGTGACATTTACTGGGCCAGCTTTGTGGAATTTGCTAGGAAGTTTGGGTTGCTAGCTAGTGTACGTCAAGTATTTCTAGAACTGAAAGCATAGACAAAAGCAGTTATTATTAATTAAACCAGACAATACTATTAATAATCTTGATCAATGAAAGATAAGTCCAAAGAAGTGTCACCATTTAAGGGTCCACACGGAAGTAACTTCATGAGCGCTCGATTCTCAAGCTGGACTATTCCTGGTTTACTCGCCGTTACTAGGGGAATCCTTGTAAGTTTCTTTTCATCCGCTTATTGATATGCTTAAATTCAACAGGTAACCCAACCGCACCGTTCTACCTATTTAAAGTTTGAGAATAGGTCGAGGGCGTTGCGTCCCCGATGCCTCTAATCATTGGCTTTACCAGATAAAACTGGAAACTTCGGAGGGAACTAGCTACTAAACGGTTCGATTAGTCTTTCGCCCTTATACCCAAGTCAGACGAACGAAGCATCCATAGTGAATCAAAACTAATATTCATAGTTGAATAGTATTTGGTATCCTGTTTTGACGTCTTTTGCTAGAGTCCATATTGGGTTAAATTTGATAGTCATAATTGATGGTGGACTATGGTGCTTCCATCTGACTAGGGAGAGGTAGTTTTGAATAAAAGAAGCGTGCCTATCTTTTGACCAGTACGACTTTTGACATTTGTGTTGAGCATATAGAGTTCTTAAGAAAAAGCTGTTGTGCATATCTTTGAGATAGGTCATCGAGTGTTCTTGTTTTTACTTGGTGATTTATCAAATACTTTCATCATTCATATTGCATTCATATGCATGTGTGTGACTTATACGGTTGAGTGCACCAAGACCGTAGTGGTGGTTTTCCTCCGGCAAGCTTGAAGCAATCGTGACCAGTATTGCGTCCAACATAAGGAGTGTCAAAGATCATCCTGTGACAGAAATTGAGTTACGAAGAAGTCGGTAAACATTATCTAGAATGTTTCTAGGATAAGTGTGTGAGTACTTCTTATAATCATCATTCTATAGTTGATTTGTGTTTGACTGAGGAGTCCCATAGATTTTCCCCATATGTGGGGTTTTACCCCGTAAAATAATTCTCTATGTGTTCCTTTATTTTATGCTTTGCATGTTTCCAGGATTGATAAGCTATATCAATCATACTATCGAAGTTTATTTTTATTTATTGATTATAATTTTAAATTGGCCTATTCACCCATCTTAAGGAATTCTTAGTCATCCTACAGGTCATTTCAAATTTGTAAGTTGTAATGGGGATACCACTGTTTTGCTACACAATGACATGTGGAAAAGTTATTCTATGTGTCATTACGTTATTGATTAGGGATAGCAACAAGTGTTATCCCCATTGCATGAGAGTTTCACTCCTAATTAATGATTTTACGAGAGTGAAAAGTGTGAGGTTGATGATGCTTCACCACTTTTGTGTGGTGTACGCATACGTATACCCACACTAGATTGTGATTTTTATATTTAATATTTGAGGGCCCAAGGTTCATTAAATTACAACTAGAGTCCTTTTTTTTATAGAAGTGACGTTAGAGTTATCATGTTCTAGAAAACTACTCTATCGCTTCTTGTTCAGAGAAAAACGTAGTTGCAACGGGGATATCCATTATTTTGCTATTCCAGTCAATAAAAATATGTCACGTGGAAGTGTTATCACGTGTGTCATAATGTTATTGACTGGGGATAACAAAATAGTGTTATCCCTCTTTTATAAAATCTTTCTTTTTGTGATTCAAAATTCATTCAAAATAATTACTCAATAGCATCGCAATGGCTGTCACTAAAATTAAATCCATGATTCTGAGAATATGAATACATTCCTCCTAAGACGTATGGACCTGGCTCCGATAAGGTCCAGCTAGCTCATGTGGCAGCTGGTGTTTGCCTCAACATTTCCTAACAAACCAATAAAGACAAGCTACGTAAAACCAAGGAAGAAACTCAGAGCGAGACCCAATTAGAATGGTCCACAAAATGTCAAAAATTAATTATATGGCAAGTCAACACCACCATCTCCTGTTCATGTATTTGTATTTTTACCAGCAAAAGTCCAACACGTACCCTCCCAAACAAAAACAAAAACAAAAACCAATGTACGTATATGAGAACGAGCAAGCAAGCATAGGTGAAGAAACATAATGTACACCAAACTTATGGTTATGGGCCGATCACCTATCACATTAATACAATTAATAATATAATATAGAATAAATGACGCAAACAAATTAAGTATTAATTGTTGAAACCATATGATTCCGCATATCCTTGGAATCACATACTCGTATTAGCAGTCCGTCCACCTCAATCACATCGAATGTCCTCTGCGAAGTTACCCCATACCTTCCTTTCCTGAACCTTTCTTTATCTCCACATAATTCCTCTCTCTCTCTCTCTCTCTCTCTCTCTCTCTCTCTCTCTCTCTATATATATATATATATATATTAGTTCGCCTTAACAGCATATAGCAAAGCTTAATTAGTACATCGTAGTGATGGCGTTAAAAGTCCTTTATGCCCTCGACACGGCGAGGACCCAATGGTACCACTTCAAGGCCATCATTATCGCCGGCATGGGCCTCTTCTCCGACGCCTACGACCTCTTCTGCATCCCTCCCATCCTCAGGATCCTCGGCCGCATCTACTACCAAAAACCACACCTTCCCACCGACAACTTCGACAACGACGACAACAACTTCGTCATTCACAGGTATGTCGACTCCGCGCTCCTCGGCGTGGCTTTACTCGGCACCGTCATTGGCCAGCTCGTCTTCGGCAGGCTCGGGGACAGAATCGGGAGGCGCCGCATGTACGGCCTGTCCCTCATGGTGATGATTCTCAGCTCACTAGGCTGCGGCTTCTCCATATGCACCTCGCCGACCTGCATTCTGGTGAGTCTCGGGTTCTTCAGGTTCCTGCTCGGGGTTGGGATTGGCGGGGACTATCCGCTGTCGGCGACCATCATGTCGGAGTTTGCCAACAAGCGGACACGTGGCTCGTTCATAGCGGCCGTGTTCTCGATGCAAGGGTTTGGGATTTTGGCGAGCTCGATCGCGACGATGGTGGTGTGCGGGATCTTCGACGCAGCGTCCGATCCCAAGCCCAAGGAGAAGACTCCGAGTGAAGCTGACGTCGCATGGAGGTTGATACTGATGCTGGGTGCAATTCCTGCTGCCATGACCTATTATTGGCGAATGATGATGCCTGAAACTGCCAGGTAACTAATTATTTTTATTTACTCTAAATTAATTATTTGACATTTTGGGTTGGATTTTATTTATATATGTATCATGTATGAGTTCGTCAACATCTGTGCTTCTCATCTTGGTTGGTTGCATATGTGAGCTATAAAATTTTGAACAAAAATATTGGTAGGATGTGTGGATGAGGAGGGAGAGGCCAGCAGGGATTAACAATGACAAATAAAAATGTAAGACTAGAGTTAAATTAGTTGAATTGATTTTCCCTCCCTGGACTCTTTACTATTGGTAATTTTTTGGTGTGATGGTGACACTGTCGCATAGTATTATTAATATACTCCTATTATACGCGTGTGTATATATTCATACTATATCCTAAATTCAAAGTTGATATGAGCAGACGACAAAAAATTGAAAAATATACAAATTTTACTTTTTCTCGTTAGAGTTATCATAGATGAGGATTGCTTCATCCGCCATTTCATTTTTGCCACGCAATGGAGGTGGATTGATATGTTATTTATTGATTAGGGAGTTAGAGAAATAGGTGAAATGAGAGTATGTATGAGAGGTTTCATCAGTAAAGCATATTTGGTAATTTACAAATAAGTTGATGGATGGATGTCCATAAATAGGAATTGGGTGTACTATAGGAATTGCATGTCATGCCTCAGTTTCGTATCAAACAACATAATATTGACCTGCAAATCTATTCCTTGGTTTGATCTAGATATACAGCATTGGTGGAGCTAAATGTCCAACAAGCGGCTAAGGACATGGAGAAAGTGTTGGATGTTTCACTGAGTCAAATTGCAGAAGATGAATCATTGACATTGCCTCAAGATCCACCGTCCTATCCCCTTTTCTCCAAGCAATTCTTACGCCTACACGGCCGCAATCTCTTCGGTTGCTCAGCTTCATGGTTTCTCGTGGACATAGTCTTTTACAGCAGCAACCTCTTCCAATCTCATGTTTACCGAAAATATCTCGGGAAAAAGTACAAATCCAACGTGTATGAAGATGCTATACATGTTGCCCTATTTCAAGCCATCGTTGCAATATGCTCAACAATTCCAGGCTACTGGTTCACTGTGTATTTCATCGATCGCATCGGAAGGCGCAAGATTCAAATGATGGGTTTTCTCGTCATGGCCTTGGTTTATTTCGCAATTGGGATACCCTACACATCTTATTGGCAAGATAACATAAATGGAGGTTTCATGGTTCTCTATGGCCTCACTTTCTTCTTTGCAAATTTTGGACCAAACACCACTACTTTCATAGTGCCCGCTGAACTTTTCCCGGCGAGATTTAGGTCAACCTGTCATGGGATTTCCGGGGCGGTTGGGAAGGTGGGGGCCATTATTGGCGCAGTTGGATTTGGGTCGGCCTCACATGGTCAAACGGAGAACCATAAAGCAGTCAAGAACTTACTGGTGATCTTAGGTGGAGTTTGTCTTTTGGGATTAGCGGTAACGTATTTTTTCACACCAGAAACGAAGGGCAGATCGCTAGAAGAGAATGAGGAATGATGAGGAAACATTTATTAAATGCTCAGATGTTTGTTTCATAACTAGTGAGGTCAAATGCTGCTGCTATTCATAGTTCCTAGTTTATAGTTTGCAGACGGTGATGAAGTTATTGTTGCAATTACTTAGAAATTCAACCAATTTTTTCTTCAACTACGTGTGTTTATGTAGAAGCCTCTGTACTGTATTCTCCCTCTATCTCCTGTACATAGTAGGCTGAGATTTGAGGGAGCCGTCCATGAGGAAAAAGTATATTATTATTAGTGAATTACATATATATTATACAGGAAATTATGCATTAAATACCAATTTCAGTCTCTGTTTTTTTGTCACAATTAGGAAGGAGAAGGAGTATTCTCACACAGTTTCATGGGGATCAAACCGCATACCAATAGCCAGCATGCAACCAGCTCTACCACTGAGCTAAGGCCCCATCTGCAGTATTGGGTCATTGTTTACTTGACCTAGTTTTTTCTACATTAGACATCAAGCAAAACCTAATTTGTTTAGATAGAATATGAGACAAACGTCTCTTGTCAGCTGGCACCAATGCTTAACGAAATTGTTAGGACATTACCACTTTGTTCCTAAGCCTATTTGGTTGGGGACATCATTGCCACGTTTCACAACTGGCCACCACCGCCAGACATCACCACCTTCAACCATCGATCGACACCATGGCAGCACGTAATCTAACCTATGAATCAAGCCATTGTGAATTGAGTGGGGAAATGACTTGATACTTTTATATGCCTTGAACCAATAAGGGACTTCAACAATTTCGTAGTGCAGTTGAGACATTAGTTGAATTGAATTAAGATGAAGTATATAAAGGGAATAAGCACCGTAAATTCAATACAAGCTTAAATCCAATCTGAACCACAAGGAGTCAACAGTTACAGATCTTGATTGAAATTAATAAATAAATAATACAAAAATAAAGTAAACTATAAAAACTAAAGTTACGTTAGGAGCAGTGAGTCTGCCTCCTTACACTCAAGTTCAAATTCCACTTTCTGTAGAATAGATAGTTTAGACTATTGCACCTATTAAAAAAAACTGAAGTTAATTTTTGGAATATACTTATTCTTCAATATAGGACTCTTTACACAAACTTCCATTCTCCGGTATAGGATACTCAAGCAGTAATGTGAAGCTTCCGTTCTCAAATATAACACACTTTCAACAAAAGATTTACTAGCCCCTTGCTTGCGTCCTCTTTGGTCTGAATTTATCTAAGGTTAATGCCCTCCCTTGGATGAAGTTTCAATAGGGGTAGAACACTATTGGGAAAATCCCATTTGTTTCATTTTGGCGTTTTTAATCGCAATTTAAAAACAAAACTTAATCGATCGCAAGAATCAAACAACTTGACCTATCAGACGCATGCACTGGTGTTTACTGAGTCCAGTAAGGTCGGTATGCACGCTACAGCTGAAAACTACTTGGGCCACTGATTGGTCCACGTATATTCAAACAGCATGAACCATACCCATCAAGAGACCAAGAAGACTAGAGTAATAATTCCTGCATGAAAATGAAAATCAATTAGTCCAATTCTTGCTGATCAAAGTCTAACAATGGATCCGCATCTCTCCTAGAATCATGGGACAAGTAGCCCCAATGTCAATCCAATTAGCCAGCCATTCTATTAACAATTGCAAAACGTACGTAATGTGTATATGCATGAACATATATATATATATATACACACACAATAGAAATGTATATATATGTATTGAACATACATATTTACAATAATATTTGTTCAAATTCAAACCCGATATGATTATTATCATATATATATATGATCATATTCGCATATTCATGGGAATCCTCACAACCGGGGGTGGCATTTGGCATGAGCAAAGTGACCGACCGCAAAAGACCCCATATTAAATATTCATTTTTTATTTGACTTTCAGTATGAAATAAGGAAAGATGGGTCTCATAATAAATATTTTTTATTTATTGATGTGTGTTTATTATAAATTGGTATCGATTGCTTTGGCTTCTTCTATATTAATAGGATAATATTAATGTTAATTTTTCCTATTTCTATTTAATATCGATTTGATTTTCATGATGCCCACTATAAGAGATCTCCAACATACAACTATGTATGCAATTTTTTTTCCAGCCAAATATATCTTCTTCTTTTTTCAAGCTTCAGTCTTCAACCACTCATCTCTTTCTCTCTCTCTCTCAAATTCTCATATTTTGTTTTCCCTATATTTTGTATATTATTGTTTTTTTTCTTGGTTATTGATAATTAATAATTTGATGTTATATATATAGTTTGATTATTTTTTATAATTTTTCGTTGAATACTTTATTTTAGGTGGTCCTCTTATTGTTTTGGTACATGGCCCTAAAATCTCAGAGCCGTCACTGTTAGCAACAACCTAGTACCATTCCGTTTTCAGACTTGTCAAAATTTGTCCCCCTATATATATGTGTATATATGTTACTAATCCAAACAGACAAAACCCAAAAACACCTTAAATTTGTCACTCTAAACAGAGCAATCTAACAACTAAAATTGCTTATGATAGTATTTGATAAAAAAATAATAATACATTAGAAGTGCTTCTTATGAAAATGCTAACGTTTTTATAATATCAATTTTGCTAGAGGCATTTATAGGAAGAAGTGCTTCCTAAACAAATAGCCTCAAATGATGAAGAAGTGATTATTGATTAATCTAGAGCTCATAGTTGTTTGGGCTTCGGCCCCACATTTATGAATATAAATATATAAAAATTAAAAAGGTGCATATTGTTTCCATTCAGATAAGAGTCTCCATGGATCTTATCTTTTGTTTGTTTGTTGTTGTAGGTCTTTGGTGACTTTTGTTGTTCTTGGATGTGTCCTGCTGTAGCTGGGATGGCAACGGTGTGGTGTTGTCGACCCAATTTGTTTCTTCGGTTTTCGTTGTGTTTTTGAAGCAAATACTACAATCCACCGTAGACGCCATGATTTTGTTGCAGCTTTTGATCCACTCGCATTAGTTTTGCTCCAGTTCAGTGTTTGGTTTTGGAAAAGTGATTGTTGCCAGTTTGTGTGGGATTGGGTTTTGCCTATGCAAAATAAGAGGTTTAGCCATGTTGGTGCTTCTAGTCTCTTTGGTTTGCCTGATAGGATGTGGTGCGGTGTCTTTGTTTTTGTGTTTATTTTAGTCTAATAATTCTCATAAACTCAATAGGAGTTTGCTGATATTTGTATTTTGTAATAACCCGGTCCTAAATTAATAGTTAAATATTAAATTATTCAAATAAAAGACGATTCTACCCAGGGAATATTTTAATTGTTTAAAAGTTGACTTTTTGTTCAAGAAGGAATTCGGGAATTTCAGTTGTATTGTTGCATAAAGCACATCGAGATGAGTCCGTAGACACGTAGTGGGCTCAAATCGGAATTGTAAAGAGAAAGACATGAATCAATTTCACGTAGGGGCAAAACTGGTTTTAAAAAAACCATAATTTCTCTCTCTCTCTCTCTCTCTCTCTCTCTCTCTCTCTCTCTCTCCACCAGTCACGACTTCCCTCCCCCCCTCCACCGAACGGTGCAGCAGCGGTTGTTCACCTTCGCTGCCGCCACCACATATTGGAATCAGGAAGTTACAAAGAGCTTCTGTAATACAGAGCTTACATAAGCTAATGAGAATTCTTATTAATGAAAGACATCTAACATGGCTATTAAATAGCCTTACACTTGAACTAAAAGAAAATGCAACAACCCACGATTTTACAAGTCCTATAATCGTGGTAGAGACTACATCAAAAACAGAAATACATGCTTGTCCCTCAAGTATAGGGATTATTGGACTCCTACGTGATTAACAACCCTAAAAACTAGGAATCCTAGCAGTAAACCTTATCAATAACAATTAGAGATTCCAACAACTTCAACATCCTCCCTTAAACTGAATACTTGTGGTATTCAGTTTACTCCTGGAAACTTGAAAACACCCATCAAATCTCGCATCTTCAGAAACGTATCGACCTTCAATGGTTTTGTTAAGACATCTGCAATTTGTTCTTGAGTTGAACACTGCACCAACTCTAAAACTTCACTCTTGACCAAGTCTCGAAGAAAATGAAACCTTATATCAATATGCTTGTTGCAAACATGCATAACAGGATTCCTTGAGAGTTTGATTGTTGAAACATTATCACAATACACCAAGGTTGGACTATATTGCTCCTGATTAAGACTCTTCAAGATCCTTCTTAACCATACAACTTGGCATGCACTCGATGATGCTGCTATGAATTTCGCTTCAGTGGTGGATAAAGTGACAACAGGCTGTTTCTTTGAGGACCAAGAAACATCACCTGAACTTAATATAAACAGATAACCTAAGGTGCTTTTCCTACCATCTTGATCACCAGCATAGTCACTGTCTATATGCCCAATAAGCTCATCATTTCCTCTCTTCTTGTAGAATATCCCCAAATCAATAGTCCCTATTACATACCTTAAAGCTCTTTTTGCTGCTAGCAAGTGAGCCTCAATTGGACGCTCCATGTATCGACTAATCAAACTAACAATAAACATTAAATCAGGACGTGTGCTTGTTAGATACATTAGGCTTCCCACCATCTGTTTGTAAATAGTGTTATCAACTTTGATTCCTCCTTCATCCTTTGTGAGCTTAAAACCAGGAACCACGGGGTTGAGTACTAAATTACATTGAGCCATGTTGAATCTCTCCAAGACCTTTTGAGCATACTTTCGTTGACTGATAAAGATCCCATCAAAACCTTGTATCACTTCAATGCCAATGAAATATCTCATTTTTCCAAGGTCTGTCACGTAGAACTCAACCATCATTGACTTCTTAAATTGTTCAAACATCGTTGCATCATTACCAGTATAAATGAGATCATTAAAATAAAGACATACTGTCAAGATCTTACCTCATTCTGCTGTCTTAATGAACAAAGTATGCTCATAAGGGCACTTGTTGAATCCCTCATTGATGAAATATGACTCTATAAGACTATATCAGGGTTGAGGGTTATGTTTAAGTCTATATAGAGCCTTTTTGAGTCGATACACCTTGTCTCTTGGCCCTTCTGTTCATATCCAGGTGGTTAATCAACAAACACCTCTTTATTGATCTCCCTATGCAAAAATGCGGACTTGACATCTAGCTGGTAGATCACCCAATTCTTTTGAGCAGTAAGGGAAATGACAATTTGAATGGTATCTAGACGAGCCACTGGTGCGAATACCTCTGCATAATCTATTCCATGTTGTTGACAGTTGCCCTTAGCAACTAGTCGTGCTTTGTACTTGTCCACTTCCCCTTTTTCATTAAGCTTCATTTTAAACACCCACTTCACTTCATTAATTCCCACGTATTGTTCTTTTCGATGGCTTGTATCTCTTGATCCATAGCTTGTCTCCATTTTTCACACTTCACAGCATCTTCAAAGGTCGTGGGATCTTGATTAATTAATAATGCCAAGTGAGCCATGCTAGCACTCTCATCATCAGATATGTCCTGACATGTTTCATAATCTCTCATCCAAATTGGTGGTCTTTGAATTCGTTCCATACGAGGTGAGATCTCGTCTGGTTGAATGTTTTCTTCAATCAATGAGCCACTGTTAGTCTCGGATTCAGTTTCTCCCACAACTTCATCAGTTCCAGATTCAAGTTCACTTTCCTCCCTTATTGTGCTATTTTCTTCATCTGTATCCCACTCAAGATCTGCCGTTATAGCTTTCTTGTGACTGTCATTCCAACTCCATTGTTGATCCTCTTCAAACACAACATCTCGACTTATAATTACTTTTTGTAAAACAAGATCAAATAATCGATAAGCCTTAGATTCCTCACTTACCCCAAGTAGTATGCACTTACAGCTCTTGGCATCAAGATTCACCCTTTTGGTATCAGGTATGTGAACATGAGCAATGCAACCAAAAATTCTGAAATGATCCACATATGGTTTATGTGCATTCCAAGCCTCCTCAGGTGTCTTGTTCTTCATGGCAAGGGTAGGGCATTGATTCAACACATGCACTGTCCAATTTACTACTTCAGGCCAGAAGGTTTTGGGAATTTGTTTGGCTAACAACATGCTTTGCACGATGTTCATGATGGTGCGATTCTTTCTTTTTGCAACATCGTTCTGTTGGGGAGAATAGGCTGCAGTTAGCTGCCGATGAATCCCATTCTCATGACAAAAATTTGTAAACTCATGTGAGGTGAACTCTCCTCCTCGATCTGTCCTCAGGCTTCTTATAAATGCCCTAGTTTCTTTCTCTACCCGTGCTTTGTAGGATTTGAATGTACCAAATGCTTCTAACTTCTCTATTAAGAAGTAGACCCATGTTTTTCTACTGAAATCATTTATAAATGTGATGAGATACCTTTTATTACTATTCGAAGTATGGTTAATTGGTCCGCAGATGTCAGCACGCACCAACTGAAGTACCTTGGAAGCTCTCCATAAGCTTGCTTTGGGAAATGGATCTTGGTGCTATCTTCCTACCAAGCAATCTTCACACACCCTTTGAGAGGCTGTGAATTGAGGTAATCCTTCCACCATTTGCTTTTGTTGAAGCACTTTAAGCCCATTCCAACTGAGATGCCCATAGCAATAGTGCTAAAGTTATGCTTGATCTATGGTGAGCGAGGAAAAACACTTTTGTTCCTTTAGTGAACAGCGGGCCAACACTGCAAACATTATATTGTGACTCATCTTGGAAGATCTTGCACCTTCCATGTTGGATGAGTACTGTAAGTCCCTTCTCTTGCAACTGACCAATGCTTAACAAATTATTTGCAAATGTGCTTGATTATTGCCTCCTTGGATTCCACAAGTGCCATCAACATCATCTCTTCCATTATCTCCACATAGTTTGCCTTTTCTTTAGGTTTCCTAAGACACTCTCACTGAAAGTGCCCTAGTTCAAGGCAATTATAGCATTCTAAGGTTGACTTGTCGAACCCTTGCCTACCCCGTCCTCTTCCTCTTCCTCGATAAGTTCCTAGACCTCGTCCTCCTTGCTGGACTCCATATAAGTGACTAAGAGTGCTTGTTCATCAACCACATGTCGACTCATCCTTTGCTCGTGCACGAGAAGGCTACTCTGGAGTTCATCTATAGATAAGATGTCCAGGTCATTAGATTCCTCAATCGAACAGACAACATAATCGTATTTTGAAGTCATAGACCTCAAAATTTTCTCAATGATCACCACATCATCCATTTTCTCCCCCGTGAGTTCTCATCTTGTTGGCTATGGTAAGTGTTCTCCCAAAATAGTCATTGACTATTTCTCCATTCTTCATGTGCAGTACCTCGAACTCTTTGCGAATAACCTGCAATTGAGCACGTTTGACACATGCAGTTCCTTCATACTTCTGTTAAAATGAGTCCCATATATCCTTCGCGGTATCTTTCTTTAGAATGGTCTCCAATATTGACCGATATATGGCTTGGAACAAATAGTTCTTTGCCTTCAAATCCTTCAGCTTCAATTCATCTAAAATCTTCTTCTGTGCTTCATTGGAATCTGATCCCCCTGCTGCAGCAATGATCCCAATCTCCACCAGGTTCTAATACTCTTTCGAATTAAGGAAGTTCTCCATTAGCATACTCTAATGGTCGTGGTGTCCATCAAACCTTGGAATGGTTAGTTGCACGAAACTATTCTCAAAAGCCATGTTTTTGTTTCTTCACTCTAGCACATAGGTTGCAAGCTTTTGATAAGGCCCCGTAGCAGAGCTCTGATACCAAATGTTAGAATCAGGAAGTTGCAAAGAGCTTTTGTAATACAAAGCTTACATAAGCTAACGAGAATTCTTATTAATGAAAAACATCTAACATGGCTATTAAATAGCCTTACACTTGAACTAAAAGAAAATGCAACAGCCCACGATTTTACAGGTCCTATAATCGTTGTAAAGACTACATAAAAAACAGAGATACATGTTTGTCCCTCAAGTATAAGGATTATTAGACTCCTATGTGATTAACAACCTTAAAAACTAGGAATTCTAGCAATAAACCTTATCAGTAACAGCTAGATATTCCAACAACTTCAACACCACCGGCCTCCAGTCCGGCCGGGACTGACCCAAATCGACCGGGCCACCGCCTTCCTCCCTTTCCAACCAAGATCAGCCGTCGAGACCGTTGGAATCCGCCGAAAATTGAAGAAATCCGAGTGCTTTTGACCCAGTTTTTCCATCAAATATTTCGGACGTTTTCGGCGACTAATTTTTGCTATTTTGGTATGGTTTTTTCATCCTTTTATTGAGATCTAGCTGCGGGTTGTGTATTTGAGGAGAAATTTCTACGTTTTGGGGATTATTTAAGCGATAGAAGTTTTGGTTGGTTTCGGCCTCTAATTCCGACCACTTTTGTCTACTTTTTGGGGCAGGTCCAATAACAAAAGTTGCTTCACTCTATGTGGTGATCATGTAGGTATAAGTCTTGATCGGCGGTTTGGAGATTTTTCGATCTCCGGAATCGTTTTGGACACTTATGCGCTGCCGATGCGGGTGGCATCGCATGGGCCACTTTTCGGCCTGTCCTTGAGTCCTAAAATCATCCACATGTCGTCCTGAGCACGACGGTATGCTCATATATGAATTTAGATATGGTTTGATCGTCAATCGCATATTAGGCGTTATCTGGGTTTGACATGTTCAGACCGTTGGATCGACTCCAATCTAAAATATGTTTATTTTGGTATTCCCAGGATCATGTAGGATTTCGCTTATCGTGAATCAGAGACTCGAATGTTCCGATTCAATAAGTGAAAGTTTGTGTTTTATGATAACAGTCCAATCGTACGATCGTGAGCGATCCGACCTTTTGATTTGAACCAAAATTGCAGGGTAGGTTTAGAAAAGTGTGTTGAACCTATAGGAACTCTTGGATTGGTGATCGGAGGTTGTGGGCCTCGCGGGCCCAGTTGACCAAGTTTAGGCAGTTTGACTCCTCGGTTGACCGTGAGTCTTCCGAGGTAGTTTTACCCTTCGAGGAGTACTAAAACGACCATGTAAACGAGTCATGACTGAAAGTTGAGTTATTATGAGCATATTAGGATTGACGGACTGTTTTATAGCACCTTATAGAAATTCTCGGATATTACATTGGTAAATGAAGTTATGAGATTTTCTTTAAAGGTTATTATTTTTCATTAATTGATATTATTATGATTATAAATAAAGTATATGGATTGGGTAGTATTGGGTGGGTTATATATGGAAGTATATTGTTTTAATTGTGGAATATGGTTTTCAAACCCATCATAGAAGTACCCCCAGTTGCCTTGAAACAATTTTGTTATTTTTGATAATGCCCCATAAGTCTCGAGAACGCTTGAACTGTGTGGTGCGAGGATTGCTACTCGGGTTGACTTGGTGTCTCCGAGGCTTGCGATGATTGCGGCTCGAGTAGACTTGGTGTCTCTGAGGTCTGTGATATAACCATTATTTCTACATTTTTATTATCTTTCTTTTAGATTCTTGCTATGTTCTTGAGTGAATTTAGTCCATTTTTACTTAGTTTTGTGTCTTACTAGGTTTGAAGAGTAAAGATGGAAAAGCAAGCAAAAGGAGCAATTTTGGGATTGAAATATGATATGCAATCATGAGAGCAGAATGTGCTGTGCAGATCAGTCAACTTGACAGAATATACTGTACTTCCTCAGAGCGAACCAAATGTTGAACTTATAACGTTGGAAAGATACGGATGTTAGCGTTCTGTAGAATTTTACGGTTTGTGATTTGGACATGTGTGGGGAGAGTTGTGGTCGTTTTAGTACAGACAATTCGGGCATAATGTGTTCTACGGGTTTTGCAAAATAATCCATTTGAAGTCCAATCCTTGGAATCCAATTTATGTAAATTGCATTTGGAAAGTGTTTATAAGGATGTGGAGTTATTTTCTGAAGTCTGATCCTATATCTAGTAGGATTTTGGATGCCAACTCATTGAAAGACAATTGAAGCCAAACTAGGAAAGCATAGTTACCAAGTCAAAAGAGGATTTGTTCCTTATTTAAAGAATACCATAAAATAGGGTTCTGGGAGGCTGAAATTTTAAGGAGAGTAAAAGAGCCGCTGCCATCATCAAGTTCTCAAGCATCGTCATAATCCATAAGTTTTATTTTATGTTTTCTAGTTTTTATATTATGTTTTCTTTGAACATGAGTAACTAAATTATTCTCTAGGGCAAGGATGACTCCCGAGCATGGATAGTTATGATTTTTAATGCTATTTAATGGATTCTAAGTTTCTTTTAGATGAATGTTTAATCACTATTTTAATTGTTGCTATTTGTTTAAGTTCTTTGATTGATCACCTTAGGGCTTTGCATCTAGTAAATTGGAAGATGAATTTGAGGCAGAACTCGCAATATAATTCAATTAGCTTCTTGCGATTAAGTGTGGTGAATTACATTATTTCTTGACGAAGAATAATGGTTTGCTTGGTTATCTCGTTTTCTAGAACGTAATGAATTCAACTTGTTAAATTTATGCCTTAACCAGGATAGATTGCAGGATTGGATATATGATCTTTGTCTGAACTAGAAAAGAATCTTACACTTAAGGAAAACTATGGTCTGAGTGCCTGAAAAGGACTTAGATACGGGAATTATCATCTAAAGAATCAAAAGAATCTGTTGAATGCATTGAAATCTAACTTGGATTGCTTGTGGTTGATTTCGAAACCCTAGACCTTCATCATTGTTTTTCAACCTTAAAATTCAACCTTTTTATTCTCAATTGTTTTTATTAATTTCTTTTTTGTTTCATAAACTTTCAGAACAACAATCTCTACAAATTTACTTGTGTATCAGTTAGATTTAATTTAGGTATTTGAATATTAGATTAATTTGGAATCCTCGTGGGAACGATACTTGGACTTGTCAAACGCTATACTACATCAATCTTGTGCACTTACAAGGACAGACCAGTCTGCGAGGATTGCGGCTCGGATTTACTTTGTACTTTCGAGGCATGCGAGGATGTAACTGACAAGATACTTGGAATTGATGGAATGTTATCGGAATTGATGGAATATTAAAGGAATTGACGAAATATGGATGGGGGTATGTCCAGGTGGAGAGTTTTTCTAAGTTTTAAGGATTTTATATAGTTCACAATTAATTTCTTAAGTGATGAGTTTGTTTTATAAGTAAAAGAGGAAAATATATGTTTCAGTTAAGTTGTTGTTATTAACATTAAGATTTCACGTGGTCAACGTTATTTTAATAATTTTCTTGTTTTTCTACTTATCTGTAATAAGTTAGTTATAAATATTGGTATATGTATATATGTAATTATAACTAGGTTTTATGTGAGTTTCGAAGGAAAGGTTAAAAGTGTCTTTGGAGCTTGTTGGTTTTTTATTTTTAATTTTTATTACTTATATATATATATATTAATCTAAGCCAGTAATACATAAATTGATATATGAATTAGAGGAAGCTTAGTGAGTGGCTTACTTATGTTTTGAGTATGAACTGTTTTGAAAATTGGGAATGTTGGGAAGTATTACTTTAGAGTTTGTGAATGTTATTGAGCATAAAGCTAACATGAGAACTTGGATTGATTTGCAATCCCAATGAAAAACAACAATTGACAAGATACACAGGTGCAATATAAAAAGAGCAAGAACTACGTGTGGCTTAATCCCTTGTTAAGGGTACGTAGGCAACCTAGAGTTACTCGGTGCAGCCACGAGACCAAGTGATTGAAAAGCTGTTCAGTTAAGTTATTTGAAATCTATTAATTAACGTATTTGTGTTGTTTCAAAAGTTTGGATTCGTTTATGTTAGCATAACAATTTATTTGTTTTCGAGAGGCCATAAAAATTAGATGTTGGTTGCTGGAATTATATATTTTGCATGTTGAGTGATTGTGAATATTTAAATTGTTTGTTGTACATGTAGAAATTTTTTGGGAAACGAGTATTTTCAGGGGAGACTCTGCCAAATTTTCGACAAAAGTCAAACTTGAGATTAATTTTAGTTTTTTGTTAGAAGGGCAATTTGGTCAATTGTGGCCGGCACCTGCCAGGTGTCGGACACGCACAGGGTTCGGCTTAGATTCCAAAGTGGAATTTGGGTCGGGTCCTGTCATATTTAGTGTTTGACTTTTCGATGCAGATTTGCCGTTACTACTATTGCGTGGTGGATCTGTATTGTAGGTCTGAGTATAGATGCTTTAGTATGCCAAATTGGAGGTTTTATG